ATATATATATATTTTTTTTTTATTTTTTTTTTTTATATATACATATACACAGAATATTTTACTGTACGAATTTTTCCCGACTCGATGACAGGAGGACGCGTAACGGGGTATATAATATATTGTATTTGTCGAGTTTTCCCGGTAACAAAAAAAAAAAAATAAAAGTTTTTAACGACATAAATTTCATTTCGATGTATATAGTTTGCGTCGTCTCGTTTAAAAGTCGTTTGTACTCATACCTATACACGTCGTCGTGCGCATATTATTATCGTTATTTTTCAAAGCGGAGACAAACGAAAAAACAAAAGCTTCACCGTGCGTTCCCGTTTCGCGTTGGGAGACGCGTTTACACGCGGCGGCGGTAAAGCCTGCGAGCCCATACGGCGATAGTTATCCGAGCTACAGCGACAGTACTGATGGTAGTTGACCAATTCGCAACCGTGACAATAATTATTGGTTATTACGGTCATCAGGGTCGGGTTCGATACGAGGATATTCAAACAGATCAAGCACCATGTAGGACCCACTGGCCCTTCGTGGTACTTGACGCTATACGATTCCCATTGGTTCTAGTAGGTTTTTCTTATAAAATATGTTTTCATATGAACACAAATATTTTCCATTCTAATAATAATGAATCTTGCCATGCAAACGAAACGATCACGATTTCCCATGCACCATTGTAAGCCTTTGTTTTACAGGTCATGCACGTATCATTTCCCATTTCCGCAAGATTGTACGTAACACGGAGATTTAACATACCCTGAGTAGCGTCAAAAGCAAACGTTACGTGTAGTCTTGTAGAGTTTGGAAACCCTACGTATAGTTGTAATATATTTAATATTTTATTTTTGTAATACATAATGAAAAAAATGCGCTAAACAAAGCGACTGCCAGTTGTCTGGACACGATACATAAAAAATTTCTTTACTCCAGACAAATTAAAACATACGATCAAATACCTAACTCGTTTATCACTATACTCGATCGACCGTGTCACGCCGAAAGTCTATAAAAGTACCACGCGCGTACTCGTATCAAAGAACTTCTCTGAGTTCGCCCAGTAAAATCTGTCTTGTTTTGCTCAGCTCTTTCTATCTTTCTCTTCCTTACCTATTAACTTCTATAGACCGGTACAGTATTTGTAGAACCAAAGGTGTGGGCTGCTGTGCTTGTCATCCTTTTTCACACTTATACGGTAGTTGCAGAACCTATGTCGGGCACTTCCCATCTAAACCATACCTAAAATTGATAGTTGCAGTGTATCACTTCATTTATGCCATACATTAAATCGTGTTTACTCCGTTTAACTAACTCTATAGTGTCTACACTTGTAGTTTGTTTAAGAATCAAATTCGCAGGTTACTCTCGCTGGCGAGAGCCACTCTTACAGACGCGCCAGTCCTCTTCTAATAAATAATGTGTCTGTGCCGAGCTTGACTAGATGTATCGCCTTACGTTTGCTAGCAAGAGGTTTCACGTTTTATATGACCGTAAAAAGTGCGTTACGCAAACGATTTATTGATATCCACACGCCAATTCGATCACTCTTTATATTTGAGCCTTCAAGCAGACCTAGGTAAGCACCTATTTCATATTGTATTCATACTCGTAGTCGGAAAGATCAGGGCGTTTGCTAGGGTCGATTCATCTCACACACAAACTGCATGCGTGCATGTAACGTTCAAACATTGTATAGGCATCGAACAAACGGTTCGGTAACGTAATCACAGCGCGATTCATATTTCGGATTCGTTTATACAAAAATATCATCTGAACGTCGGCACACGCGCTGCCCACGCTCTCATGATATAATAACATTATAACGCCCGTTCAGTGTTTTATAACAACAATATTTATGTACTACCCCGATCACCGTGTCGTTTATGAACCGTGTACCCGTTACACGTAAATGTATTCACCGGCTTATTATACCCAGAGCGCTTTAATCATAATTTACTTCTACTACATAGCGTTAATGCAAAATTAGGATTCATAAACCCTACGCGGAGTACGTACGTATACATTTACCTTTGCGCTTGACCTGTTAAATACGCGTGTGTTACACACAATTGTACTGTAATCAGTTCTGGAGAGTATCGTACGTCAATTGCATGACGATACTGAAATCGATATATATCGATATATATGTATAATATAATACTCATTTTAAATTATCTCGCCCGTTTTTGACTACCATGAACTATCATCGTGTGAACAGGGATTGCGTGATAATTGATGGTTACTATCGCGAGTGACTATCGCCGTGTGAACGTGTATTTTCGTTTTGTATTTTTGTCGTGTCCACACGTAGATAATAATAATAATAATATTAATAATAATGGACCGGCCACTCCCATATTAACAACATCATAAGCAGACATGGCTTACGAGCGGGGAAGAGAAAACGACTGTTATTATACATGCTATTATAATTATATAATATATAGGATGTCGTTACCCTTTGTTCTCGTTTTAAAGGGCGGACTTATCGTTAATGTTTGTTTTCGATAAGCTCTTACGGTCTGTCCGCTCTTGCATTATCGTCCACGCGACAGTGTCGCACTTTTACAAACGTTTCTATCGACTTCACTGTAATATCACGCTGACATATTGTCATAATATGGACGCCGCGCCGTCTTTACGATAGCCGCTATCGTGATAGCTACACCGTCGGTCATCACGGTAGGAAGTGTGTATCGTCACGTGGACCAGAATCAAATCCCGACAGCTTTAAATAGTCGTGAAAAATCCAAAACTAAAAACATTCGAAAGTACTTGTATATTATATTATTACGAGTGACTTTCGATACTTAACGTGGATTTTTTTTTTTAAAGATTTTCCTTACCGACTTGAGTGCCTCAAACACGGTCAGTTATAAATGTCAGTTTTTGTGATTGTCACCCGTGATTGACCGTCTATGTTGATGAATGTCAATCTTTTTTCGCGACCGATGAATTTTAAACGTGTTTGGTTTTTTACATTCAATCAGAGTGATTGGCAATCATGACTGGCCATGAAGTACGGTGATGATTGATCCGCGTTTATTATTCAAAACATAATATTAAACCAGCGCTTTCCTAACCGTTTTCGTTTTTCAAATAAACAGTTTTTTATATTTCATAATTAATGTCTAATAATTATTTTTAATAGTACCTAATAACTATTAGACAAATCAATGAATTAAGTTTACTTTAACTACACATAATGTTTTTTTAAGTATTGATATACTTCAACTATTATAAAATACATTATTATAGTATAATATTCTATGCAAGTTTATTCCGTTTATATGCGATTTGGGAAATTCGGATATATTATATGTTATGTTAGATCTATTGGTGGTTAAATTTGTTTTTAAGAGGACGTTATACCCGCATCTACTGTCTCGGTCCAACTACCGTGGATAACGCGGAAAAACAATGTTTTCGCAGAATAAGTAAAACTAGCTTAATTTTCATTTTAGAGTGAATATAAGTTCCCATTATGAAATTTATAAAGAACAATACCGAGGGAATGCCATTGGAGTTTTGTATTATACAAAATATACAGTTCGATATAAAAGGCACAAAAACCTTCTTTTGTTTTTTTAACAACTGTAACATTTTTAACAGTTCATAGTTCAAAAAAAAAAAAAAAAAAACCTATGGCATTCCCTCCACTCCAAAATACTGTTCTCTGTACATTTTATAATAGGCAATTTTACTCCGGAATCAAAATTAAACGGGTTGTACGCGTTCTGCGTGAGCGTTGTTTTTGCATGTTACCCGATAGTTGGACTGGGACAGTGGACGCGGGCGTGACGTTCCCTTAACCGAAGAACTTGTCAAACGGTCGTCATTCACGACCGACCATATATATGCGTGTGAAACTCGACGTTCGCATAAATAAAGAGACGGCCGCGAAAACCCGACATCCATACGGCTGACCGTGTGCGGGGGTGCCCTTTCCACGCGCCCGCCGAATTCCGACCGCGATACGCCGACGGCGACTCGGAAGCCCCTTCGCCGCGGCCGCGCGTCACCCGTGCGGTGCGGCGTGAACGCGCCTTCGGGGCCGCGCGCGCTCCGGCCCGGGCTCTCGGGGACGCATAATAAACCCGACGGCGGCGGCGGCGACGGCGACGACGAGTCGGCGTGCGGTTCGCCCGCCCCCTCTCGTCTATATTGCTGCGCTCGCCTCGTATTTATTACACGCGTACGTAGAGACCCGCGTAAACGGATCGCCGGCGGCCGTTTCCCGCGGTCGTCCCGACGGATGTACTCCGCGAACGCCGGCCCGCGGCGTAACCGTCGCCGGCCCCCGGGACGGCTCCCGCGCGTATTGTCGTCGCCGGGTATCCGTGCCGTTAACACGCGCGCACCGGCGCGCAATGACGCGGCCGCCGCCCGCGGACCGCCTCGCTGCCGGCGAAAGACGTCCCGTTTCCTGCAGGTACGCGCGCCCCGGTCCCGGGACGGTGCGCGTACGAACCGCGTGCGATAATGTAGCGCCGCCGCCGCCGCCGCCGCAGTGTTCCGCGGCCCGTGATATATTATTAAATACGCGCGCACGCACGCACGCACACACGCGCGCGCGCGCATATCGACCGCGCGTTCCCTTAATTCGCGTCGTCCCTCTTTCTCGCGGGGGTTGCGGTCGTTATCTAAATCGCCGCGGCCGGTTATTAATTGGCGGCGGCTGCGGCGGCGGTCTCCGTCTTCGTTAAGTATTAATGCATTACGCGCATATACGTATATACACGCGGCCGTCGCCGCCGCCGCCGCCGTAATTCCCGGCGCTCTGAGCGCGCGGTTTTTTTCTCAGGTTTTTTTTTTATTTTTTTTTTGTTCCGTTTTGTTTACAATAACAATATTGTAGTATTATTATTATAAACTCGCGCGCCCGCCGACTGTAAACAAAAATATAATTCCAACAACAACATGCGATAATTAATAACACCGTAATCACGTCATCGCGCGTACATATCGTAACATTATAACGCCGTCAGTTTCGTTTGGGCCGTTGCGCGCGTATCGTACCCCGTCCGCGTCCGTCACGATGCGGCTGCAAGCGGTTTTAACGGCGGCGGCCACCGCGCTCTGGTGTTTGCGGTGCTCCGCGTGGAACGTGACCAGACTGTACGGCATCGGGCCGGCCGGGCCGCCGGTCCGTCTGACGGACGTGGCCGTGTGGCGGAACAGGGCGTACGCGTGTTGGCCCAGGCTGGACGCGTCGCAGCCGGTCACGCTGTTGGAACTGCCGTGGCCCGAAACGACCGACCAGCAGCTCCGCGCGCCGCCGGGGTTCGGGTCCGCCTGGAAGCCCCGCGGGCCGTTTCGCGCCGACCAACAAGTGAGTGACCTACAACCCTGTAACGTATTAATGTGTACTATGCGGTCGGACGTGTTATAATATTATGCACAGCCGAACCGGGCGTTTGAAAAACCGCCTAGTAATATCGATCGGCAGTATTGCGCGGAAAAAAATCGAAAACCGCACTTGAACAAACTACTCTCGGTCAGCGATGTTCAGCCACGGATACTAAAAATGTATCTAGATAAATATGAAATACCACACACCTATGTGGCCGGTTTTAAAGACGAACAGAACAAATGTTGTCTAGATATACTCGATGAAAGATAACCTCGATTTATCCGGATGAAAATCGCGTACGTTTTTCGGTAAAGCAATCGATTAGATAAATTGTTTAAATCGTATAAGACGTTAAAAATCTATAAATTGTTTAACTAATGCGCGATAAACTAATGTCTGGAATAAAGATCAATTTACTTACTAATATAAAACGATGTGTTCGATTCTGAGCGGAACAAGGGGTTTCGGAGGATCACAGCTAGTAGAAAAAATCCCCCGAACCCGATCCCGGAATCGATAATTCAGTTACAAGTAACGTCGTTTTTTTTTTTTTTTCAAAATTTTACCATTAAGTTTTCAACTCGTATTGTGCCGAGTCTAGAAAAAAGTATATTTGCACAAAACAATTTGTCAAGATAAGCGGCATTTGTATGTAAGATTATAGAGAATTTGATTTTTCGAAAATTCGGCGATATTTCCCTAGATAACATAACGGCTGATTAAAAACGTATCCGGTTCACTCTGAACACATGCGCTCTCTGTTGTCGGACCGGCGACCCGCATTCCGAAAAAATTCCGTTTTGCCGTTGTAAAATGCTTGTGATTTTTTTTTTTTTCGTTACGTAATCGTAGTCTACGACTATCGGGATAAAAAAAAAAAAAAAGTATTTCGGGCCGCGACCCGTCGTAAGGTTGGGAAACCTTTATGGTCGTGTTATAATATACTACGCGGTCGTGATGTTCAGAGTTACAATAATATAACAATATTTTGTCGTGCGAGACAGCATTCGGCGGCCATCTATGCATCACGGGATAACGTTCCCGGCGTAATCGTTTTTCTCTCTCTCTTTTTGTACATCACTTGTCGTCCGTTTCGGTAAATTAGATACATAATAGCCCTGTAATTCTCGCCGATGATCCAGTTACATAAATAATGTTGCGGCACTCGGAATTCCTGTATACAATATAGACATGTATTCGTGATGATTATTTTCGGACGACGTTTCCCCTCACACCGCTCCCCTCCAAGGCGTATATTCACGCCGTATAGAGCTGCTCAACAGTCGCGTTTCTCAATCGCATTTAATACCTATGGGGCTCATCGACTGTACGACGTCATTATGTTCGATTGTAAACGACAGTCGTTGTTTTTTCCTGTACGAATGATAAGAAAACAACACCACACAATGTATACACGCACAATAAGCCGCGGTTACCGATTGCCGAATCGATTCCCGCGGGCAGGCAAACAAACGGAACAGTCGGTAAAACTGTAATGATTTTAACAATGAAAACAGAATTTACAAACGATTTGCTTCCCGTTTTACACGGATTCGGGACTGTCTATACAGAAAACCCACTAGAAATCGCCGTACGTTACGTCGTCGGCGCAGTCGTCGAACGAAATACCCAAAAAGCCATAGGCGAAAACCCTATAGGGTTTGGCGTTGGCGGATTTTAATTTCGAAAACGGATTTCGATTGATTAACAAGATTTACATTTGGTTTTGGCGAGAACGGGAACGATCCCGTGTATTTTCCCGCGGTAAATTGCACATGTTAAAACTATTACGTTCCGAAAATAATCCGAACAGTAACCATTTTTTTTTTCAACCCGGCAACCGATAATTCCGCCGTTTCCGAAACGTTTACACACGCTGTCCGTCCGTCGTGTTATCGAAAAGTCGCGTCTAAAATTCCGACTTTTTCGATAAACGGATTGCGAGCGTTTTTTTTTTTTCTTTTCTCCGTAACTGCCAAAATGTATTTATATTTCGATCGATATTTAATAAAAATCGCACACTCGTCGCTGATTGGTTAACTACGCGAGGTAGGTAACGTACAAAATGCTCTCTCTCTCTCTCTCTATATATATATATACACTCGTATATACAGCGCGAATCCCCCTTTAGTCCGTATTATTATATCAGTCGATTTCCTTTGTGTGTTTTTTTTTTTTTTTTTTTTTATGGAACCTATTTTCATTTCTTCTTCCGAAATCGTATTACTGTATACACACGACGACGCAGTAAATCCGGCGGACCGTATTGACTGCATGCAGGTCAAACAAAATAATACCGTACACATACACACACACACACACACACACACACACACATATATATATATATAACATTCAATTGGTATTAATACCCGTTTCGGCCGCGTGTCGTGAACTTTTGATCCGAGGCATTATATACGTGTCTATACCGCCGCGGTATATTTTCTCCTGCGCAGTTGTTAATAAAACGACATTATATGTGTGTGTGTGTATAATACCTATATGTAATATTATTTTCTACGATCGTCTCTTCTCCGGGGCCCTGGCTCTACGGTACGCCGAGTTTTTTTTTTTTTTTTTCATATATATACGCGACGGCTACGACGATCACGCCGTCGCCGCTATTTAGCCGCACGACGAAATTATTATTATTATTATTATTATTATTATTATTCTATACGTACTACGCGTTTTGTATACGTAGTGACTCATATGCATACGAGTATTACGTCGTCGGGCACGATGACTATCCGCCGCCGGCATGATCATATTATTTCATAAAAAAAAAAAAAAAAAAAAAAAAAAAAAATTAAANTTCAAAAAAAAAAAAAAAAAAAAACAAAAAACAAATTAAAACGTAATTACATTGATATGGTCGGGCTAATTTCCAAAACGCGTACATGGATAGTGACAAGAAAAAAAAAAAATGGACACGTATCTATATCAGTATTTATACTCGGTCTCCTTTCCGCGCTATCCCTCTCCAACAGTCGTCCTATTGTGCTACCTCTTTCTCTCTCTCTCTCTCTCTCTCTCTCTCTCTCTCTCTCTCTCTCTCCCCCTCTCTCTCTCCAATAGTCTGGGGTTAAAAAAACTACAATTACTCATTCGTTTCTTTATTGTCTATGACCGATTGCCCGACTCCATAATGACAACCGATCGGAACAAAAACCGTTTTCGACGCTCGATCCCGAAATATGATAATGTATAATATATTAGGCTGTTTTAATTTTTAACCTTTTTTTTTTTTCGAATTAATACTGAAAATAACTTCATTGTTGTCTCAAACTTACCCCAAAATCTTTTGTATAAAATCTATACTAATTCCCGGATTTTTTTTTTTTTTTATTTTCAATTCATTATAGTCTATGCAGCTGATCTATAACCAAGGACCGATAGCAAGGTCTTTTCATAACTTACAAAGTTAACCTTATTTGCACATGTTTGTTCAAAAAGTAGCTGAGTTATACAACTTTATAATATGAATACAAAAGTTATAAAACTTAAATTGTATAGATTTATACAAATGAGCTATTCTTATAACAGTAAAATTTCACTTGATTCTGAGTGAATCATATATATATATATATATGTTTGTGATCATTAAGATACAATTATGTATAATCACATAACTATCGAACTCAATGAGTAAATTTGATTTGATTGGAAGTATACTTTCCGTTACTTTCCTATGTTGTTTAAATGGAAAAACTAAATAATATGACCAAGTTCTAATCATTTTTTTTTTTTTTTTTTGTACTCAAATTTTCTTTGGGTTAGTTTGAGACTACAAGGAAGCAATTTCCAGTTTTAATTCGGAAAAAAAATAAGTTGAAAATCAAAACAATCTAATATTTTATACGGAGAAATTTTTTTTTCAACATGACGATTTCGTTGTAATTTCGTGACTATGCGTCAGGGTATAATATATTATAATCTCAGAAGTATATCGGTCTTCGTTCAGAATTGTTTTTTGGTTGTAATCATTAATCGTCACTTTCAGTATGTAAGCGAAACGAACCGATATCGTCTCTACGCGTTTCAAACTACAACTACACAGTAGCTTAACCCCACGGTGTGAAATGCGCATAGTTTTGACTGCGATAACGGTTAAAGAAAACGTTTTGTACAGACAAAAATCGTAAAGTCGTATCGTTTTAATAGTTTAAAGGTCACGGGATAGGAAAAAAAGTAACAGCCAATTCTCTCGATTTTAAAATAACCGTATACCTTCCGTCCAAGGGTTCGTTTGACACTAATATCGAATGTTGAGTTCCGTTCGGCGAAAAAAGGTTTCAGTCGGATAATATTGAAGGTGAAATATCGGACGGGTCGGTTAAAAAAAAAAAATGCGCTGTGACAGTCCGCGTGTACAGCTGCATAGAACTTTTGCTCTGCTGAACAATTTTCGAAATTGGCCTCACCGCCTACTCTTTCACCTTTCTTCCCCAGCGTCTTTCATTTTTTTATGCTATTTTTTTTTATTTTCGCGCGCGTTTCTTTTGAAAATATCTCGCGCGAAAATTCGTCGACTATAACTTTTACCGGAAAGGCGGGAAAAAAAAAAAAAAAAAACCTAACGCAATATATTTACGCGCGCGTCTTCTCCCGCGGCCGGTTCTCGGCGACGACGGCGCGCCCGTAAAGGGGAAAAACTCATTAAAAAGTTACGAAATTAGTTTGGAAAAACGATTTTTGCGCGGGCCGATTGTTTGCGCGCCTGCACAGTGTAATGTTATACACGTATACGCTTAATATCGTTATTTTTTCATTACGAATATAATATCGTTATTAGCCGTCGTTTGATATTGTAATACGCTGCACGGCTTTTAAACGCGTTAAATCCGCGGAATATTATATGGAAACGTGCTCTCACCGTCTCCCTCTCTCTATCTCTCTCTCTCTCTCTCCCCCTCTCTCTCTCTCTCTATATATATATATATATATGTGTATAATATTATAATAATAATACAGCGCCGTTATAATAATATTGTAATATTTATAATATACAGTATACACTTAAAACACCGCGCGGTAAGTATACATCCTGCGTATAATATTGTATATATCTGATGCTCTGCGGGTTCCCCTGTACATGTATAAGGAGCGATGCACGACCGTAATAAATTCGCAAAGTAAAAAAAAAAACCACCATGAATACAAGAGTGTATTGCTGCGCTGCGGTAAAGTATGTACGTATATACGTATTATTATATGGGTACGCGGGAACGGGTAGGATATGGACGCCACGAAGACGACGAGAGAGACGACGAGAGAGGAGTGGGAGGAGGAGAAGGAGGAGGTAAATCTGACGTCTCGGGGAAAAAAAAAAAAATCTAGTCGTATTTATTTATTTTTTTTTTTCAGGTAGGTATCCGCCGAACCCGGTGTGGCGCGGAAAGAAAAAGAGTAGTAGTCTGTTTTTTTTTTTTTTTTTTTTTTTTAAAGAATAATAATGTCTTGAAATTTGTTTATGCACGACCATTATCTAAATTGGTGCTGCGCTGTGCGTAGGTATACGCGTATATAAATATATATATACTGAAAAACGGAAAAGAAAAAGAGGACGTAATTTACATAAAACGAATTTGTATTCTCCAGTGGCGATCTCACTTTCGCCCGTCGTCGCCGCCGCCACCGCCGTTGTGGATACGACACGTTTTACACTTAAGTATCAAAAGTTCTCTCTTCTGCACTCACTGCTGCCGCAGGGAGCTCGAAAATATACGGGCGTGATATACCTATACGTACTTAAAGCCAGGACGTGCATACATTTGAGGGGACCGGTGATAGGTGTATTATACTTACGTGTATATAATATATATGCACTAAAATATGTACGGTACGAGCGACACGGAGCACGTGGACACCGCGGAGTCAAACATCATCATCATCATAATAATAATACTGCACATTATACTCGCATAATGTAAGAGCGTGGCTGTTTACCGCGATAAAAAAAAAAAAAAAAAAAAACCCGTCGTCGTTGTAAACGTCGTATTATTACTATAATCGGACGGTAATAGCTGTTGCTGCGGTTTGGGATTCCTCTGCTAAGCTCAAAAGCCGCGTCGATAAATTTAAAAGTGCAGATTGACGTTGATTCCGGCAAGTGGCGTTAAATGGTTCAGAAACACGGTCTTTCGGAAAAACGAAACGAATATAAAGCCGGAAGTTTTCGAAAGACAAATCGTTTTTTTTCGGGTCGCGCAAGGACGCTCGGATTGAGGAATGGAGGATAATAATAAGACATAATTGAAAACTCCGGTATTTTATCAACACGCTCTAGCGTCGCAAAAGAAATTTTAGCGAGAAGAACGAAATAGGCAGGATAACTACATGGAGAAAATAGGCATCAATAATTAGAACTGTAATAAAGAAAACAACCCAACCGGGATCTGCACGAGGAAGGTCACGCTTAAGATGGAGAGACGGAGAGAAAGCGAGTGGCAGAAATAAATGAATAAATATTTGTTTGGAGCTCTGGTCTTCAAAGGCCGTTCAAAGAAGAAGAAGAAGAAGAAGAAAACCGTTTGCGAGAATGGGGCGGATGCTTATAATGGTAAATTTTTTCCGAAGAAAGAACCCATAAAAATGATTAGAAACATTGAAAAAATGTCGGGGATTCGGGTGCGAGCGATGGACGTACTATTTAAAAAATCATGTTTTGTCGCGTTTCAAACGAGGAATCGTTGCGAAAAACTCGAAATTTCTTCGCAGTGTGCCGATCTGAGTATAATAAAAGCCGATTTGTTTTCTATTGGCTCTAATCAACGGTGAACAAATTTCGAATCACCGCCATTTAAATGGAATAGGCGACTATGAATAATTATACCGTGTTGCAGGCGGTTAGGGATTTCACTTAGCACAATTTGGTGCGCACATTAATATTGACCCCTATACTTGAAAGAGAAAAATTAATGTATATTCGTGTTACATTTGAAGTCGAGTCCATGCTTGGAAAAAGTAAAATATATAATGACTGAGTCAGCTAATCCGAACATTCATACAATTTTTCGAAAGACGGACACACTTCGCACGTGGATGGGCCACTGTTGTAGATTAGAAGTTGGGAAGGTAATAAAGAGGAAATTTTTTTATGCATATCTGTACGCACCGATTAAACATGGCTAACGAAAAAAACGATTCTGAGAGGAATTTGATTGATATAGTGTTGCTTTGTCAACGATATATATATATATATATGTCATTTTATATAGTGAAATAATTACATAGGTATGCATTAAATATTTTCTTTGATAATATATGTTTAATAATGTACCCGTTTTCCCGGTTTTTCCAATTTGTTGGGTAAACTCCTGAGAAAATTAAAAAATGATTTTCCTAAGGTACCACCCCAGTCAGATTTTCTTTCAGAAAAAGTGCTATTATTGTAAATCGGAGCAAAATTATTGGTAAAAAAGTTATCCAAAGGAAAAAAAATGAACATCGTTGTAAAGTTGATGCATTCTTCGTTCCACTCTGAATCTTAAAAACATTTTTAACTGTACTAGACACGAGTAATATTTTTTCTTACAGAGGTGCCAATTTCGTGACAATGTGAAGTATGTGCATGTTTTTTTTCTATTCCAAAATTGTATTACATTCTGTTGGTATTAGAATTTTAAATCTTATATACGGATTTAAATGTTATTCGGTTCGTATTCGGGCGAATACTGCAGTTATCGCGAGTGCGTATTCCAAAACGCGCGTTGTTTTTCCAGGAGCATTACATAGGGGTGGTATACACGATACGCCCGTGAGGATATTTGACGTTCGCTTCCCCTCATTGCCTTTTTATTTTTATGTAATGTGCGTATTTCGTCTGTTCATTTTGAAACGTTTTCTCGAGGGGAAAGTGTTTCTCGCTGAACTTTCCCCCCGTGCAAAAGTTATGCCCGCAATGTGTTTTTCCGTATACAGCCGACTCGACACTGTTTTAGCGACGGGGTCGTTTTGCCCGCGCGAAACCTTAGAAGAAAAAAAAAATAAAAATCAGATTAAGCCGATCTAAACCCGATGGAAATTTTCGGAACGCGAATCTAGAATTATTATTATTACGCACGAACACGAAACGGCACGCGGGGGACGGCCCGCTGTACACCTGTCGGCTTCGCCATCCGAATTAATATACAAACCTACTGCCTCGCGCGTCCACGGCCCGAGATACGAATTCCAGGAAATCATAATATTTATATATATAGTACCCTAAGTAAGTATAAACTTAAACCTCGCCGACGTACGTCCGCCCCCGAAGTCATCGAAAAGCCACCGCGAGTAGATAGCAGACTTCCAAGTCGGCGTGACCGATTCGAGAATTACGTTATTTTCGCAGTCTCGTCAACGGGAAACGTGTCCGACGCCCAGACTATTTTTCACTGTGCGTATGCAAGAGTAGGTGTACGTATACACACACACACACACGTTTTCACGCGTACACGCGTATTTCACGTTATTTTCAATGCGTAATCGTGCGAACAAACTCTAAACGAAAATACCGGTAAACGCGGACGGAAAACATTCACGTGCATTATAAACGCGCGCGAGTACAAAACGCGTTTCATGTTCTAATCGATTGGCGTTTTCAATCGAAACCTCTAGCATAATAACATCGTAATGTAATATAGGCGAAACTAGGGGGGGAGGGGTGTGCTAGGGGGCCTACAGCACCTCTAAAACGACTAAATATTTTAGCATTGTTTTCATAATGAACGAGCGGAAGAAAATACAGATTTCCCACCTGGGAAATGTGTGCAATGTACGAAAAATAATGTTAAAATTCTTATGATGTATTTGTATAATGTACACACGTTGTAAAAAAAAAAAAAAAGGCGTAGTAGACTGTTGTAAGAGTGGTGCAAAGGGGATTTCGAGGGCACAACCTCCGCGGGTTTTTAACCACGGGTCCATAATTTTAACGCCCCCCCAAAGTCGGTAGTCTAGTTGTGCCCGTGTAATACACTATACATTAGTACTGAGTACCAAATCCGGATCGAAACAAACGTTACAATCCGTTTAATCCGAACTATTACTTTCAATCCGTATTTTAAATACCGATCCGGATATACGGATTATACTATAAATGCGGATTATTAAGTGTTTAAAAAACAATTAGGTATTATTTTATTTATAATTTGTTTTTCTTAACTGAAACTATTTCTAAAATTCTTTAATCGCCCACAAAATGTGTATCGATTGAAGTTACTACTCAAGTATCTCTGGACTATCAAAATAGTTGAGCAATTGTGAAAAATTCGAAAACCCTGTCGTATTTGTTGTTACGTGGGTCATGGATCGCGTTGAGTCGATTGCCGATCGATCCGATATCGTACAACATTCGTATTGTACAGAATGTGTGTACACGCTACACAGATAATAACGAAAAAAAATATAAAAATCGAGATCTGCGGATCAGACCGGAAATCCGGATTCCGGAACGCGTCGGCCGGCAACGCACCGTGTGAGGGATACCGCACTTCGGCCGGCCGTGATATCGCCCGGGGTCTCGCGAATATATTATCGCCCGATACGATTCCGGAATATTCGGAACTTTGCGTGCCGCCCGCGTTTTCGGAATAATAATAATAATAACAATAATCGCAATAATCGCGCGTGCACACAATACGGCGGCAATAACGGCGCGGCCGCGCGGAAAACGTAACGCGGTAAACGAATAAACGTTTATTGTCGTCATTGTAACGTACGAAACGCTAGCCGGCGGGCGGCGTGTGTGCTCGCGAGTATTACGACCCGGCGGCGACCGCGAAATAAATAATGATAACAATACCGATGACGATGATAATAACAATAATAATAATAATAATAATAATTATCGTTTTCGCCGGGTCCCGGCCGCCGCCGCCGGACGACGCCGCCGCCGCCGCCGCCGCGCGTATAGTATTATTACAATAACAGTCGGTCCGGAATCGATTTCGGGCTCCGCGAACCCGCGAACGGTCCGGGGGGTCGTCGTCACTCCTCGAATACCGCGTTCGGTTTCGTACGCCGCCGTCGCCGACAGACGCCTCTCCGCCGGTCGCACGCCGAATAACAATATCCCGCGTGTCCCCGCGCGCGCACCGGAGCACCCCGAAAACGGACGCGATAATATAATATTTTTACGCTGCTCGCCGCGCACGAAAATATCGCGTGCATACGCGTGTGGCGGGCACGCCGAGCGAGCCGTTACGCCGCGGCGGTTTATACCGGTAGGTGCGCGTTGTTGTCTGCATCGTTCGAGTCCGCGTTCGACCGGCGAAAAAAATCTCGGGGAAACCGGCCGCGAAACTGTTGGCGAACAACGAACGGGCGAGCGTGCAGAAGAATCGCCGTGTGGTGGTGGGGTGGGGGGGGGGGGGTGTGTGTGTGTGGAGGGCCCGCGTCGATAACGCGACAGAACGCGGCGACGGTGTGCGAAAACTCGCGTGGCGATACGATGCGTCCACCGGTGTATAGTGCGCCTTGCGGAAAACCGTGCGCCGGAGCGCCGGTCGTTTGCACGATTCCGTTCTGTTCGGACGTCGGATTGTTGTATTTGTTGTCTGTGCGCGGTGTCGGATCCGCCGTTCGGGACGGTACTTGCGATTCCGTTGCTTTCGGCCGACGGGCCGGCCGTCTCCCCGTACGGCAGGGCCGCGGTCGTTGTGCGTCGCGTGCCCGAGCCGGGCTACGGACGGTGTTACGGAGAGAACGGGCGAGAAACGACGGGGAAGGCGCCCGTGACGACGGACGGGAACCCGGGAAATCGCCGCCGACGGATTGGAAAACGGCAAGACGAAATGGACGCCGAAATACGCCGCGGTCGCGGTACGCGGTGTAACACGCACACGTGTTCGTCATTATAAAACCTATCGGCGGCGGCGGCGGTCTGTGGGACGCACGGTTACCGCGGTATATTGTATTACTGTACCGCGGCCGGAGAGTATACCGCGCGACGCGTCGTGTAGAACGCACGTACACGTGTACAAAAGTGGCCACCGGTGTTATACGTACACGTATATATAAATATATACGCGGCGAAGTATACGCGGTATTCCGTGGGGTTGTAGCGCCCCCGCCGAGAAGGGCGAAAAACAAAAGTGAAACGTATAATAATACGTTTAAACGCAGTTTTTGCGGCTGCGGTGTCGCGTTTACCAGCGCCGGAGTTGCACAATATACAGAGCGATCGCGTCTGCGGCGAGGGTCGCAGTCCGCGCTCGGAACGGCATATTTTATTACATTACGCGAGATTGCCGGGCGGTGTTTGCAAAACGCGCTTAAACCCCGCGGGTTTTATGCGCGCCGAACAGCCGGGACGGAGTATGTCGCGCGAAGACCGCAGACGTTTGTTTGTTATACATCATGTATGTATCGTTCTTAAAAAAAAAAACAAACGAAAATAAACAGTTCTTGCGTATTACTTTTGGACAAAACGGGTAATTGCAGTTTTACATTCCGAAACGGAACGAGGAATGTATTGGTTTTACAATGATGTTTATTTGTTTTCTATGCGCGCGCTTTTACTACCAGAAAGCTTAGTCCGATTATTAAGTATACCTTCGAGTAACGACTTTTCCGAAAGGAAATGTTCTCCGGACGGTACTTTAGAGAGGTCATTTTTGGAAATTATCATTCATATTCGATATCGATTCGGAAAACCGGGTCCAATTAGGTCAAAAACGATTGAGAGGTTTAAAATAAGGTTTTCATTGGAAACCGTTTGTATTTATTTTTTTGTTATTATTAAGTTTTTATTATTTTAATCTATTTTAAACAATCATTGTTGTCACGGAAACGCACATTGTTGTACTTATTTTGCCATAATATAACATATATATATTGTTGATAAAGCAACATTATCAACTGAACTCCGTTCAGAATCGTTTTTACGTTAGCGATTATGGTTTTGTCGTTGCTTACACCTGGTACATTAAATTCCCGTCTGTATCCTACCTTTCCAACTTCCCACCTACAACAGCGACTACACCCAAGTGTAAAGTATGTCAGTCTTTTTTTTTTAAATCTACATTTATTTCGTTTTCCTGCCCGTAAACCACTTTATTCAATTGATATTTCGTTCTTGAATAATTAAGATAAAATTCCAAGTATATTTGACTGTTGTCACAATATGATATTTTCAAAAAATTAATATTTAAAATAAAAAAAAAAAGCTCTTTTATAAAAAAAAAAAAAATGTTTTATTTGCAACCTTTTCGTAATACAAGCCGGCCGTAATCGCAATCGATGCAACGGTAAACTACTGTACAAAAAAAAAAAAAAAAAAATCCCCTATTAAATTATTTGAAAATGTCAAGACGAATTGCTATTACAATATATAGAAAATCTAGCGGTGATTTGTCTATAATTTCGCAACAGTTTACCCGTCTGATCTTTGTATAGGACATATTTTCGCGGACAAATAATCGGGGCGGTTTTATCACGCCGTGTCGTCTAATTCATTTTTTTTTTTTTTTTCCCCGATAAAAGTCATTTCCGCATTCATTGGTAAGCCCGTTCAGTAACTGTGGACCGTAATTTCGCGATTAAACCGCATGCGCGTATAACAATATTATTTGGATTTTGTTTGGCGAGCAACCATAATAATATAGGTAGGCACGTTTACGAAAACACTAAATGATTGGGACACGTATAATAGTACTCGGAACGGGACTAAAACGGTTTATAAAATACAGGTATATGTCATAAGATACTCGATTTTTACAAAATATAATCGACGGAATACGTGTATGTACGGAGTATGTGTATTATACTACATAATATACGCCGTATATGTATTTTGAAATAGTTAAAAAAAAAAAAAAACAAATTCGTCATAATATATTATTTTCGTTGCCCCGTGCCACTAAAACCGTCGTAATAGTCGATGGAATTAACGGTTTCCAATAGTGCAAATATTGACAAATAAAACGCTGCAACACTATGGTCGGTATTAAGACGGTCTGTAAAACTATCAATTCATCTGTTTTAGATTCCGAGCTTAGCGTTTTGGTTTTACAATGCTGTTTATTTTTTCTTTCTCTCCGTTCTTTGTTCTAGACCGCGGACACGTTTTTTCCCAGTAAATTTGCTCAGTTCTTCACGTGTAGCAACTTTTCTGAATGCTCAAGTCGCCCAGATGGTACTTTAAGGATTTGATTTTCGAAGCAGGTTTTTCGAACAATAGCACTCGAGTAGGAAAACGTACAATTTCACGATTTCGTTTATAAAACTCGGCTCAGAATCTCAAGAACGAGACGAAAAAAACGGTGGACGACGGCGGCGAATAAAACCACCCTGTACGATCACCCTGTATATCGCGCACGGCCGGGTGTATAGGTAAATATCGTGTCGGCGTCGGGTCTTTGTGCGCCGAAAGACGCGTTTACGACGGTCGGCGCGGAGACGCGGAGGAGGAGCCGGGAGCCGAGCAGCGCTAGGCCAAAAACGATTATTACATCAATTTATAATATTGGAGATGATGTTATTATTATTATTATTATTACGGACCCGCCGCCGCCGCCGCTATGAGCGACTAAATTCCTCCGAAACGCCTCTCCGCCCCCTAATATAAATCGATTTATTTTTTATTTTTTTTCTTCTCCTCGTATTCCATAATTCGACGTCGGTTTCTTTCCGCGTAATTTTCGGATTCCCGGTGTAGCGCATCACCGCCGCAGCTTCGCCAAAACGTCCGCGGCGTCTCCGTCTCTCCGCCGCGGAAAACGCATTTTCGGCCGGTAAATACGTCGCGTTTTTTTTTTTTTTTTTTTCCCCCGATATTTTCGAAAACGCTTTTGGCGAGTTGCTAAATGCCACGAATTTTTCAAACAGCATTTCAATACGGGATGTCAACATAAAACATTTCGAAAACGTCCTCACGCACACTGAAAATAGAACTAGCTCGATTTTGATTTCGGAGTAAAAACACCTATTGTACACTTATGATTAGACGATAATCTCCTGGAGCCCGCCACGCCGCGTTTTTCCGTTATTTTTGTTTTTTGTTTTTTTGCACATACAACGCAAGCCTGCATATAGGCGCTCCCCAAAAGCAAAACCAAAAGTACGCTAGTTTTACCGGGTGCGCGAAAGAACGTTTTTGCCGTGTCACGCGTTACATAGTAAGACGGAGACAGTATGGTATCGTCCATCGGAAGATGCGAATTCTCCGCCCGGCGGTAATTTTATAGTGTGTTGAACGAATCCTACTAAATTCCCGATATTTTTTCTAATAAATTGAAAAAAAATAATAATAACAACGGTCAAAAGCATGTGACGGTTTTATTTTTGACAATTTTCGAACTATACGCTGATTACAAGTGGGACGAATACGCGACCCGCACTTCGTCGCCGAATCGACACCGGGCGCGCCGCACAGAATCGTTTTTCGACTGTCGTTACGTTCGGCACGCGAACCTATCCGTCCCGCAAAACCTTCGCGTTTTCACCCGCTCGGCCCTCTGCCCACGCCCTGTTCTTCGCGGCGCGTAAGTACGTCCGGGCGTTTTTCCATCTCGTCCTGAATTATTGCGGTCGCGCCCCGTCACCTACGTAACACACTACAATACGATTTCCGGGCGTTTAATATTTCGTCATTTATCCGTTCGTCGTCGGTATTTGGCGGGTGCCGCCATTTGTCGTACTGCGCGACGGGGCGCACGTGCGGCTTCACACCGCGATCGCGCGACGCCGCCACGCGGGCTTTTGGTACGGTTTCCCTTGCGCGGTCAGCGAACGCGATCGACGAACTAGAAGATCGCGTTCGCATCGTCTTGGTTTATTCCGGACGGTTTTGCGTCGCGATCGAGAGTAATTTATATCACATCATTCAGTCGCACTTAATATTTCGATGTGTGAAGTACTCTAGTGAACGGTATAAACGAACATACTGCGGATTTTTAAATCATAATGCATACATCTGACGACGTAAATATATTGAAAATTCTTTTTGAAGAAGAAGATGACGATGACGTTTTGCTCTTATGTTCGTCAGAAGAAAGAGAAAGAGAAGTGCGGAAGGTTATTATGACATACTAATCAACGGTCATTTGAAAAATAATGAAATCAAATTTCGAGAATTTTTTAGAACAAATCGTAATCGGTTTGATTTTATTTTAAATTTAATAAGAGACGACCTAGCCTAGACATTTTTTTTTTTTTTATAAGGAAACCAATAACTTCATCTTCTACTTTGCTAAAATTTGGTCATTGGAGCACTCATTGTTGAAACACACGACCAACGTCAACCAGCAGTGCCAATCGTAAATGAATGTCACATACTCATATCATAATTTTCTTTCGAAATAACAAATTAATCGCGACGCGATCGGATTTAGATCGCCGACCGCGATCGCGCAAGGAGAACCGACTGTATTTAATTTACATTGTATCAGTAGTCGCGCGATCTCAGATCGGATCGCGTTCGGGGTTCGCGTTCGCGGTTCGCGCAAGGGAAACCGGGTACCGGTTTCGGGTTTTCGGCGCGCCGAGACGCGGGCGCGAAGAAGAAGCGAACGAGCGTCGCGACGTAATACGAAATTCTCGGAAATTTCAATTGCGTATTCTTCACGGTTCCGGAAGTTGTTCGCCGCCGTCGGTCCCGGGAAGCGGCGGTTAGAATTTCCCGTCGACGTCGTCGCAATAATAACGATAATAATATTATTATTATTATTATAACACCGCGGGTATAATACGTACACCCAACTCGACGACAATATCCCAATACGATATTTTGGCACGTCACCCGTATACAAATACGGAATAATAATAATAATAATAATAATAATTACGAATTCCGTGGCGTCCGATTTGCATTCTGTCCTCGCGACGACGACGGCGACGTTATCGAATTCTCTCTCGTCGGCATTACGCGCGCGCGCGCCGTACTTACTGTATTCGGCGGCGATTATTTAGATTATTTAGAGAAATAAATAAAAAAAAAAAAAATCAATAATACCAATGCGACGCGATATTATTACCGTTTGACTTTTAAAAAGCCTGAAAATTCCCGCGTGTGTTCCGTTCGTAATATTTATTTCGGCCGTAAATTCATAATGCAATTCATAAAGTACACCCCCCCCCCCCCCCTCCAACCCATCTACCGCCGGGCGAAAAATCCTTGAAGGCGTATTGGCCGTCTGGAGTTTATTTTTGTTTACCGGAAAACGGTTTCCCGGGAAAACAAATACGCGTCGTAGTAAATCTAATGTATAAGCCATTTCGCATACACTCGGAATCTAAAATTTCAAAAGGTTTTTGTTTTTTTTTTTTTCCTCTCGGCAGAGAAACGTATACATATATATATATCCGATATACCCGTATACATTGCGCTTCGCGAGTCCGTAAATCTGTTTTGCATTTTTTTTTTTCCCCGCCGCCCGTCCCGTGGCCCGTTACGAGTCCCGTCCGGGAACGTCCCACCGCGCACGTAAGTCAGGTTTCTAAACGACCTTAGGCGCTACGCGTTACGCATACACCTGCCCGACAAACAACACTGCACACTTTAGCGCGGCGCAACGGCGGCCCGGAGTCGGTATAATTACGATTGCGGGCGGGCAAGAGCCGAACGAAATCGGCGGGTGCGCATTGTGAAAACGATCGATTTTAATCGCGCGAAATACGTTTGCTCTTCCTGTTCGCGCTCTCGGCCGGCACCCGTTCACCGTCTGTAATATCCCCGCGCATATTGCCCCGAGAGTATTAACCGCTTTTTTTTCCCCTTGGTCTTTTCGCCGACTCGTTATACGAAATCGCACCGCGCGCGCGGGACGCACAGACCCAGACAGTCGGGGACGCAACGGTCGAACGGACGCCCCTAAGACACGAGACATCTGTAGGAATACTCGGTGTAGGCCGCGGTTCGGCCTAGTTTGGTCAGCGCCACCGGCAATCGGGTCCCGATTTCCGGTGGCGCATTGCGAAACATTTGATTTTCCCGCCCGCCAACACTTCCGACTTTCTCGGCAAATTCCCGCCTAATAAACAATCCGTTTACATCTGACGATTTATTTTACTTTTGCGTTTACAAAAATCAGTATTGAACGGTGAAAATCTTTACTATCGGTCATTAAATGTTATTTTAATGTGCATAAACGCGATCAGAGGTCAATTTGAAATAATAATTTAATGAAAACAATTTTTGTCCGCTGAACAAATGTTCAATTTCGAAAATGTAAATTATCGGTAGACGCCCAGAGAAATATTTAAATTTTTAACGCCCCGAGGTACTGTGTTTTAGTGTTCTTTCATAAGAACATGTTTTTTACACATTGGAATCTCGAGCTGTGCATTTTACATTTCATACTGTACACTCTGGTTTTCAAAACGCATTATTTTAGCGAGCTGTTGAACGAACGTAAACCACGGGACGGGGTAAATATTGACAGGAAAAAACTTGCTATTTTACCGTGTCTTAAAGGATTATGACGCCCCGTTCAAATACGGCGCCCGGGGCCCATTAAATACGTCCTTGTAAGTACGTATAAACGTTTTCATAACCGTCTAGTGTTGAAAGTGTACAGGAAAATGTCCGTCAACGGTGATGGAAATAGTTGAACGCCGGGTGTAAGAAGGTCAAGATAAAAACAAGTGGCCGAAGTGACGGAAACTCTTAAAGAGAACGTAGAAGAAGAAGAAAAAGCCACTTCGCGAAATTATTGTAATTAGTTGGAAACGGGAACCGAACGCACTTTTCGCTTTTGTTGGAAAATCGGCGAACCTATCTTTTTTTAAATTTTTTTATTCCGCCGGTGACGCGTACACGTCTCGTTTGTGCGTTTTGACCGATATCTTTTGTGGGCGTTTCGGCGTGGATACACAATTTGCCGCTGCCACTGCGGTAGGTAGGTAGTATAAATAATACGTTAAATTATTTTTGGTTTTTTCGTTTTTTTTTTTCGCACACTTCGAGAGAAATTCCATTAGAACAATTATACGCGCACAACAAAAACTCCATAAAATGTTCGCGCGCACAAAAAGAAAAGTTTCCACACGCGTAACCGTACGTCATTCGGTCCGGTAGTATAATTAATGCCCGGTAGTTTTTTTTATTTTATTTTTGTTTTTCTATATGTAACCCGAAGCTCGGGATTTCCACGTCGTGTTTTCTAACAATATAAATATTTCGTTTATTATTTTTGCGCTACGATAATTATTTTATTCTTTAACTTTTAACGTGTGTGTGTGTGTGTGTGTGTGTGTGTGTGTGTGCGTGTGTGCTGCGCGCGTGAAACGTATTAACAAAAAAAAAAAAAAAATAAAAATAAAAAACGTAAAAAATACCTACCATTTGTTTTGTTTATGTTTTTACTCTGTACCCACCCTATATCAGTACACTACATACTGCTGCAGTTACACGCTAGAAAATGTAAGTTACAAACAATAATAATTAATCGTTCGAGTGTACCTTTTGAAAAGTCCGCGTATTATTATATTATTATCGTGCACCGCTGCACGTTTCCGAGTGTAGGCACCTTTTTAACATATTTTTCACACCGACAAAATCTCACACCGCACTCCGCGACGGTTTTTGTTTATATAAAAGAGCGAACTACGTATCCGAAACACGCGAATGCCTACTCGTTCAATCTCGAGTTCAATAATATTAATATTTGTTTTTACGTATTTTTATGCGCTTTACAATCGCTGTTTTTGTGAACACTCGCTGCAGTTTGTACAACTATTGTGCGGCAGTCTGACGGCATAATAACGCTTGATATTTAGTATGCGTGCCGTGTATTTTTCACTACAGGAAATTCACGCTCGTAGTTCCATTAAGAATATAATATTAAAATAATTTAAAATTTAAAAATAAAATAGTGCCCGAACAGAGGATTATAATAACAAATAATAATACTTGTATAGTCGACGGACGCTGTTAAAAACGACATAATGACGCGGAATGTCGTCGCTCAATAAGATACAACCACGGATATTTTATGAGGTTTTGGCCGAATTGAATTGGTGCGCCGCGCTTTCTTATTTCAAATTTCCGGCTTCGTCGTTTGGTGAACTTAACACAATCACAAAGAGAACGGGTTGTGCTCGGAGATCAGAGTGCTCACATAAACGATAACAGCTGCCGTGTCTAAAATGTTTCGGTGTATTTTTTTTTAAAGAATTTTTTTTGCCGAAAATTGCATTAACTTCACTGGACACCCAGTTGAACGATATTTTCTTTACTATACGTCTAACAGAAAATACACGGTAAACGAATGAAGTAGATTCAAGTGTTTGAATCGGGAGGAAGCGCAGGGAATCTTTTACAATTTTTCCTTTAACATCCTGTAATTATTTATATTGGAACGGTACATCTCTTTTTTCAAAGAATAATATTATCAAAATCACGTGTCACCTACTCAGATCAATCGTTAATTTTTTTCGAAATGTAATATTTATCATTGACCAGTCATCAATTATTATCATTATTGTATTTTCTGTATTTCACATTATCCTTGTGTCTTACTTATTAATAATGTAAGTAATTTAACCAAAATCTAAATAGTAAACATTATAATTTTTTATTTATAAATTGAAAGAAAAGATAAATCATTGCAGTCGAGAAACGATTCTGAGTGGAGTGGAGTGGTAATAGTGGTATTTTTTTTTTAATTTTCATAGTCCCTCTGTTTATTTTTTGATTTTCAAAACTGATGAGAATAGCATTTGTAACAAAACATTATGACTGAAGGTATGGTTTCCCATTGTTGATAATTCGAATAGTTAAAGAGAAAATGTTTGTTCTACAGCCAGGAACTTTAAGGAAGGCGGAGTGGATTCACAGTGAATATTCGCTAAAAAAAAAATCGTTGAATGCTTTGTATCTCAGTATTGTTTGGCTCTACGTTCGCCGTATGAATAGGTAGGGAGTTTTTCATAAATATTCCGTGGAAGTGTGTGAGTTTATAATAAATACAAATTCAGAAATTATCTATTGCGAATAAACCAGTTTTATTGTTCTCCTTAAAAGTTGAGAACCATGGGATATTGGGCGTGTTTTAACCTATTAAGTGACGACATTATTAATATTATTCTACCCACAGATTAATGATACAGCTTTAGATAGTCCCATGAGAGGTATACGAGATTGGCAGCCGTAAACCGAAAAGGCGAATCGCATTGATTAAACCGTGTCATATTTGTTTACACCATGAAACATATGACGGTGTAGAAACAAATATATTTACCACGAAACGCACGGTATAAACAATTAATAATTTATTGGTTAATCAACGATATTTTCCCCTCTGGGTATATGGTTGCCAAGCTTCAGATTTATTCATATAGAGTCAGTTATCTAATTGTTTTATATATTCGCGATTCTACCAACAAAATCACTTTGTATGAAAAGTTAAAAAGCCAAGTAAAATAATATTTAGAAAAAAAAACCACATTTGATTTCATCGCAATAACCTTTGTGCGGAAACTATTATCGCCATGTAAACTAATAATATTCAGGTAATTTCACATCGAACAATCTCTTCTTCTTTGTTCGATCGATATCCTGGTTGTCGCTGTATCCACTTATCCACTGTTATATTGACTGTCCAATTACTGTTTTACCGTACCAAGTCTGCGTTTTTCACACGGCCCTCCCATGTCTTAACCGTCTTCCCCGAGGACATCTTTGTCAATAACATTTTTCCTACCGTCGAACCGTGTTACCGTTAGGTATGCCCTGCCCACAGCGTTGTTCGTTTTCTAATCTCTTTTACTATAACTGAAATCGGTTGATATAGATTTTCAAGTCCGTCGTTGCGTGATTTCTTCCATTCGCATACGTGGGTAGTAAAGTGTGTGATCCCCGTATATTTTCCCGAGTGTACCTTTCTCTCGAACATTGCTATTCGCTGTTCTCCGTTCTTCTCAAAGACTTCATACACGGTCATTTAATTGTATTTAAAATAATCTCGTCTGTGGTCATTTTGTAATTTATTTCCGTTTCATATCTCGCGTATTTTTTTAAAAAAAACATTTATAATCGTGTTGTTTACGCCGAGTTTTGTAACAAAGTCGTACGCGATATCCGCCCTAACGTCTCGGCCTCGGCAGGCGATTTTAGCCGAACGCGGATGCGGATGTACGAGGGTTATGGTACAGGTATACACAGGTGTACCGCAATGATTTTACTTATCACGCGCTTTACACAGATTCCAGATACTCTGTACGGTTTACCTCTGCGCACCGATACGGTTTTTATCGCGATAATCTATCAAAGGGCGCAGCAGCCCGAGTGCCATCCCGTTGTTTGCGCCGCGCGGTGTTTGTCGTCACACGAGCGCGTTACCATTACACGTGCGGTAGGCACAGCGCTGTTAACCGCACGCGGCCGACGGTATTCGTATTTTCGGCGGGACTGCCGGTACGCCGGCAGTTGGATTGGATTCGGTCGAAGGTCGACATTTCTATAGGCGTTACGTTATTATTGTTGTTACAGCCTTGTGTGTGGGATAAAATTCCGAAAAATAAAATCGAATTACGGTATACGTGTACCTCGTACAATGTGCAGGCGCCGCCGTCGTTTCTTCGTCGGCAATACGTCCAAACCCGCAGTAGCTGCAGCACGGATATCGTATGGAGGACATCGCACACACGCGAGCGCGCGCGCGCGGTATACACGGTATCTCAGATCGAAACGTCGTTTATAACACGGTTCGAAGAAGCGTAAAAAAAAAAATTCTACGTATATAAAACATATTAATAATGGAACTCGCCTGATCAAAAACAAAGATAATACGACGACGACGTTTCGACACGGACCGATTTTTTTCTCGCATTTTTTTTTTTTCGCCGACAAATCCAATCAGATATAGCTGATGTTTTTTTTTTTTTTTTTTTTTTCACCGCCGCCGCGTCGATATTTACCTACTTCCTCATTATTATTATTATTATTATATTATACGGACGCTCGTTGTCGTTCTCTTTTTCTAGGTTATTATAGATCCTCCTGGAATAATAATAAAAAAATAAAAAAGAAAAAAAGAATACAACGCTCGGATCGGTATTTATTTGTCTGCCCCTCCCCCTCCTCCCACCACCTGTGCCGCTCCTCGTCTAGCCCGGAGACGTGTTTTTGGCACATAGGAAATTATTCGGTCTCTCTTTGAAATAAACAAGAACAAAACAGAAAAAAAAAATAAAGAAATAAATAAAATAAAAGATAATACTCGACGGACCGTAACGGTTCCGACGGAGGAGCCTCAAGGATACGCCGCGATGTTCGAATGAATATTATATTATATTATATCCGCAGCGTTATACCATACGTTCGATTATTATTATTATTATTGTTCTGTATACGTATGTGCGCGGACGCACACGCAACAATATAAATCTCTGCGAACAACAATAATATCATGTAAGGCGTCGGTTTGTGTCTCCGTTGCACACGCGCGTGTGCGTATTTATACGCGTTACACATACTACAGCGTCGGCCCGGGACAACGCGGTGATTCGTGTGCGCTGCCGACGAGTCGAGTGTACGGTCGTAACCCCGGGGGCGAACGCGTGCCGCGGGGGTTTTTATACAGGGCGGTTCTTTTGTCGCGTAGCCGCGAGTACACCGTCCGCGGAGGTTTCGGGCGAATCGTTAGATTTCCGATTTCTCTCACTGGCCGTTGCGGCGGTCGTCGTAGCTGTTCGGCCGTTGCGGTCCGACGTTTTTCGACGTCCCGTCGCGATGCGATTCAGCGACCTGACGCTTGTGCGAAGGCGCGGCCCCCGTGTTTAAGGGCCCCGCGCGCGAGCGGTTTTGTCGACATTTTCGGCGGAATGAAATTCCGTCGCCTCGACGTCATTCAAATTCACTTTTAGATACGCGCGCGAGCAATCCCGGTGTCGTTATCACAAGTGCTAATCGCGTGTTCGTGAAATGATTGACACGGATATTGACGGAAATCCGTTTCGCGCGAGCTAAAAAACTATACTCGCACCGTGGACCCGATTGAGAAAGCAATTTTTCACCGTAGAGCCCAGAGTATTCGCAACAGCGGTTTTAGTCTTTCGATGTGAAAATTACGAAAAAAGTAATTGGACAATTTTTAACCATCTGCTTTTGAGATAACGATGACTTTTCCGTTGTTGTTTGTAATATCAAACGAATAAAGTCGACGGCGCACCACCCGAGTTCACTTTATTCTGCGGTGAAAATTTGATTTTTTTTTTTTTTAATTAAGTCTGTAGCTTGAGTAATTATTCTCCGTTTTAAATAGTGTTCATAGTCGAATTATGGCCAACAGTAAACACTCTCTCGAGGAAATAATCGAGATTTTACGGGAAAGACCATAATACAATCTGATAATAATAATAATAATAATAATATAATATACATAAAATAATATAATTAGCAATCCGAATACGGAAACCACAAATCTTTGACGATTATATCGACACCGAGAATAATACTGTGATATTTCAAATCACGGAAAATTTCCATTAGAAAATTATTATTTTTAGATTCTGAGTTGTAGCCAATATGTTTTACTATGATGCACGTGCGACAATTTTTCTACCAGAAAACGTATTCTAATTAAAAATTAATAGAAGACCTTTATTCGTTGAATTTTGATTTAGTTGGTGTATTAAAGAGGTCATGTTTTTTACTTTTCAAACAGTTTTCATAATAATTTGGAAACACCAGAAAATACCCAATGGGAAATGCGGGAAAGTTTACGAAATAAACGATTTCGTTATTTTCGATTTTGATTTTATATTATAAACTAATTGAAAATTATCGTAAAAAGTTTTGTATTACACTTTTCTAGACTCGGTAAAATGTTCAAAGCATTTTCGCGATTTTTAAGTTATTTATAAGAATTTTATATTTCTGAGTTTTTCTACGTAGTTTTTATTTTGTACGTATTCTGTGTATACAAATGTTTCAAAATATAATTGGACGTTCATTATAAGTTACAAAGTTTAAAACTGAAGTCGTTACAGGATACTCCTTAAATGTTGTGAAAAATCTAAGTATGCAAAAATATCGTTGTTCACTGCATTTAAAAATTTCAAAAGTCTAAATTGTATTTAGTTTAACAATAAAAATAGGATAAACATACTTAAAAACTAATCTGTATATTAAATTATAGTTTTAAAAAAAAAACTATGTGAAAAATAACAGTTTTTAAAAATTATCCTCCCTTATTTCCTCCCTTCCTTTTGATATTGTCCTCTGACCACCGCTGTATAGTAAATAAAATTATTTGTACTTCGTTGAATTTGAAAATTTTTAGTAATTATTTTTTTCCATTCGTGTTCATTGTCCAATGCTAATCATTATAATACAGTTAATATTATTATTTTTTTTGTATTTAACACGGCCAATGGGGCGGGGTTGAATCCCTTCTCTTGAGTATACCAATTATGCAACTGTGAATATCAGATGATTTGTTAATCTATATAGTTGACGATAATCAGGGTTCAGGACTTCAAGTATTTGCACATTTGTTTTGGCTTAACATAAAATCTAGCAGAATGCTGTGGAAACGGTTACAATGATCTCAAATTGGCAACCGTTTATGTTTATATTTCGTTTTTATTACTTTTATCTTCTAATCTTTTTTAAACAATCATTGTTATCGTGAAAACGCACATTGTTGAAAAAGTTGCTCAATACTATTGAGCGAGCTTCGCTTAGAATCGTTTTAAAAAAAAAGGACGGATATACTTCGCATGTGGGTGTAACCGCTGTTGTAGATGGGAAGTTAGGAACGTAGGATACAGACGGGAATTTAATGTATATCTCTAAGTAACGATAAACCATTGCTAATGAAAAACTGATTCTGAGCGGAGTTCAGTTAATAGTGTTGCTTTATCAAAAATATATGTCATATTATGGTAAAATGATAACAACAATGTGCGTTTCCATGACAACGATGATTGTTTAAAATAGATTTAAAACGATAAAAGCTTAGTAACAAAAAATAAATAAATTTTTTTAATCTTTCAATCTTTTTTAACAAATTTTTTTTTAAATGCTAAAAGCGTAAAAATGACAATATGAATTGTGTTCATAGTTTTAATCGCCCTTTTTTTTTTTAGACAAAATGAAGTATTCAAGCTCTTTTTTCAAGACTAATTTTTTCCCGGGAATCATAGCACGTATATAGAATTCCCGAAACCTGATAATAATATATTATGTAATATTGTTGTGTAATATCACGTGTTTACACGGTGTAAACGAAATAATAATGGGGTAACATTTTGAAAACATCGGCACACGATGTCTGACAGAGAAAAAACACCCACGACAAATTTCGCAATAAGAGAATCGACCTGTACGTATATGTACATGTATAGCCGGAATAATAAAATAGCGCGGCGCAAACGGCACAAAGACGTCGAAAATGGCATCCGAAAGTTTTATTCGTCGGCGTTTTGCGGGACAAGTCGTTTGCGAGGTACAGGTATATATATACGTATAAAAACGCAATCTGAAATGACTGCGCGACACGGCTACGGCCCGCGATATTATTATTGTTGCGCGTTATTATTCTCTCGTGTGCGGCGTCGTATTGCTTTTGGACCAAATAGAACGTGAAAAAACGCCGCGTTCGTGATTTTTTTCTACACGAACCCGCCCACCTTTGCCGTTGCCGTTATTATAATAACGTTCGCCGCCGATCGATTGCCGTGAATCAAATGCGAGCAATAAGACTGCCGTCGATTTGCCGCCGTTAATTAACAAAACGAAACGCAAAACGGCAACAAGTCGCAGTCAGTCGTCATACCATTATCATATTATCATTATTATTATTATTATCATTATTGTAATAACAGCGGTGTGCGTAATTGACGTAATGAAAACCGCCGCCGCCGTCGTGTCATTTCGAAACGATTGACTCGTCGGTTTTTTTTTATCGCGTACACTTATCGATTCGGTATTGACTTTAACAGTTCCTATTATATTCCCCTCTCCTTTTTTTTTTTTTTTTTTTTTTCACAAATAAATATACCCGATGATTGTTCGTTTATTTTATCGGTAGCAACAGCCGAACGCCAACCGTTTTTTTCGCCGAGTCCTCGTCGCCATCGCCGCGGCGAAAATAATAAAAAAAAAACCCCGAGGCGACCGCCGAGAGATTACCATCGTCATCTATATAATACACACCTGAAATTCCGATTTTTCTCGCGTCGTGATCTTATCCCGTATTATCATATTTTTAACTTTTTTTACAGCGGGCTTTTTTCCCTCGATTTGTCGCGCTGTTTTTACCGCACCGAGTGCAACTACAATGCGCGCCGCGCTCGTCGAACTTTACACCACCGCACCGGCGGAGTAGTGTTTTACAATCGATCGAATTGCACCGCGTGCGACTTCAGTGTAGGTGACGGCGCTTCAATAAAATTGTTTACACAACTTTATATTCTTAACACAAACAATATGATGTTATCAATATCACGATCGCCCGCCGAAAACGATTTTTCCATATAGAACCGGAAAATCGTCTCGTATTTTACCCGAGAACTTTACGTTTCAATATAATGAAGTTTATAGTATATATTATCTACCTACGCAGAATTATACGTTCAGATATTATTATATAAACTTACGAATAAAATCGGTAACTATATACCCAGAATTATAAATTTAAACTAAGTTTCCGTTCTCTTTCGATAAATAGGTAGGTGTACCTGTATTATAACACTGTGTATAGTGTGTCAAAATATAAAGCACTACCTATTTAATTAATTATTATAGTTTATATAGTATACAACAAAACTTACTTTGCAAAGTCTATACAGTGTTGCGGAAGTGTGTTGCACTCGTGCTCAATTCGAGTAAATAATCGTCAAATGGAAAATGTTACATTATACCTACAGTTATTATAAAAATTAACGTAGAGAAAACAATGCCTTATACTATATTATACAAGTGAAAATAAAATATTTCACCGGTATCAACGCTTTTATCTATAATTTAAACACTAAGAAGTGTAATGTGCGTAGGAGCACGGGTTGCTGCGCTCGTGCTGAAATTATCCCTTAGGAAGCACGCACTTTGAAATGTTTATTTGTGTGCGCGAGTTTCTTTAGTTCAAAGTCGAAACACGCGTGTTACGATACGGCTATACAAGTTTAAGTAAATGATTAATACAATTAAATAATAATAAAAAAAACGGACGCACGTGGGTGCAGCCGCTTTTGTAGATGGGAAGTTGGAAAGGTAGGATACAGACGGGAATTTAATGTATATCTGTGAGCGACAATTAACCATTGCTAACGAAAAAACGATTCTGAGCGGAGTTCAGTTAATAGAGTTGCTTTGTCAATAATATATATGTCATATTATGGTAAAACGATCACAACAATGTGCGTTTCCCTGACAATGATTGTTTAAAAAAGATTATAAATTAATAAAACCTTAATAACAAAAGATAAATAAATAAAAACGGTTGCAAATGACAACTTTATTTTAAACCTTTTAATCTTTTTTTAATCTATTATCTCGAATACTAATGAGAATTTTAAAAAATGACTTCTTTAAAGTACCATCCAGAGAACATTTCAACTAAATCGGAGTATGCTTTCTGGTAGAAAAAAATGTCCACATAAAAAATAATAATAATAATAAACATCATTGTAAAACAAATACATTGTTTGCTCCGTTCAGAATCTAAAAAAATAAAAAAAAAACCGAATTTTTAAGCCTGATTACCACGACCAAAATATCGATGGACCTCTAGTTTAATTTATTATGGATATCAATTTCAAAAGGGTGCACTAGTGTGCACTGTATACCCTATACCAGGGGTCGGCAACGTTTTTGGCGGAAGAGCCAAAAGTTACAATGTACACAATTTTCCAGATTTTAAAGANAATAATAATGAAATTAATTATAATAATATAATAAATTTATGATAAAAAAAAAAAAAAAAAACGGTTTTTAATAATAGGGGAATACATCAATGGGAGCATTGGCTTTGCATGTCTTGGCGTGACGGCGTATGACCAATTAGTTGTAGATAGCGTCGCATCATATACATGGTATAGGGCCTATACCATGTCACTCTAAATAGCGCTTCTAATCTAGCTTAAATTCAACTATATTTTTATATTGTTTTTTTTATTATTTCAATCGATCGAATGCGAAATAAATACTGATTTAGCACTTATCGAGACCTACACCATAATGACAGTGTTCTTTTTCATACCGACAATTCAATATAAATTATAATGTGCAATAATTAAAAAGTAATAATTATGTCAAATTGATAAAAAATAAATAAATAAACATTTCGTTATCCATTGATTATTTTCAGACTTCAAACACTATGTAGTTAAAAAATGTTATAATGTCGGTGTTGGTAAAAACCATGGGTTTATATTATTATATACACACACGCCGAGAGCTGCCACCGTTGCTACTGGTAACTGTACTCTCTACTCCTCTGTTGGTCGACGATGCGTTAAAGTTTTTTTTTTTTTTTATCGATCGCCGCTAAATTAATCGAAATACAAATTCGAAACGGCCGAATGGTATTTTATATAATAACAATAATAATACGTGTACGTTTATTAATTATTTGGGATTATAAAAAAAAAAAAAAAAAAATAATAAAAAAAATCCGCGTGTACACATTATTTTCAGGCTTTAAAACGGAACGCAATTTAAAAACGCTAGCCGTCCCGCACGGAAAATATAAAACCAAACGGACCGTTTAGAAATTACGAGAGCGATCGCGGTATATTATGGTATGTATACGGAACGGGCCTAACCGGGTTTATGGTCGTGCGTATACGTACCTATTATATACAGTATAAAAACCGTTTTTAATGTTTCACGAGCGCGGATGCAACGGCCGTAATATACAAGTCGGGCATGGGATACGGGCGGAAAAAAACTCGCACCGTCTGTTTATTTATTCGCACGCGGCGTGGCAGCGTGAGAATGGTATACGATAGATACCGGAGTGGTTAGCTATATGGTTATTATAGACGATTCAACTATACGCATCGGCGCGGTGATCACCGTCACCACTATACACGATCGATAATACGAAAATTGATAAGATCGGTAAAGTCCGGGGCGGCACGACGGCAGTTTAAACGACGAGATCGTTCCGACACGTTATAATTATTGTCGGTCGTATTGCGTTGCAATGCGGAATGCATTTTCAGCGGGGACGTCGTTTCAGTTTACTTTTCAGGTGTGCCTGAAATGTCAAACGGGCCATTTCGAAATTTCGCCAGGCCGTATGACAATATGACAAATATACCGTCAGTGTACATTATCCTGTTTTTAATTTTTTCGATGATCGTGGACTGCGTCAAAGTAAATGATGCAATCGAACACTTGAAACATAATAGATAATTGATTACTTTGGCCGTGAAAACCAATGATGATATAAAAAGCATAGAAAGTTGAAAAAAGACGAAAGAAAAACGAAAAGCACTTAATATTTGCATTTAAAAATATATCATTCGTACTTCATATCTATGACTCTCGTATATTTAAGAAAAACGTTTAAACGTTTAATTTTTAATAAGCGGATACCGCGGCGATTTTAAACTTTAGCGTGTACACCTACCACGAACTAAGATTTTAATAATTAAACCTGTGGTCAAGACGATTGTAGATATGTCGATATATCGCTTATCAAATCGGTCGATATAACGGTATTTGTTTATTAACCCACGTGTGGTTGTAACCACGGTACACAATAAACTAACAATTTAATCAACATGAAATACAATTTAATATAAATTGAAAAATTGCACCGTAATTTTTATAGCTGCAATTTTTCACCAGACCGATTCGGACTATATTGAAAGTAAAAAGTGCGACCGCCCCCACTCTGTTCAGTAACTGATCTTCAGTCGAAATATAACTGTATTTTCCGAAATTCGAGACAAGTCCGATACGTAACCCGCCGTTAAATTTGATCCGCCATATAATTTCGTTCGGTATAGTTTGTGATTCGATTTGAAATTGAATCTACTAATATAGTTTTCGACGATAAAAATTATAATGTACACATTTTGTTATACACAATCTACATGGGCTGTGCAAAAGCTGTTCACAAAATAAAAGGCGGACGTATTTACGCGGCGTTGCAACGGAACTTTTTTCTGAAATTAATAAATTCCGACCTTATACATTTTCTTAATGTAAAAGATCTATAGAACAGTAAAGAATAACATAATGCCGGAGAAAAAAATATTTTAGAGATTATCCGAAAGGAAGACTGCGATAAACCGGATAATACGATACGAATAGCGCTAGATTAGAACGCAATAGGGAAAATATTATTGAGAATGCCCAGGGTGAGGGGGAGAACGCGTAGTAAAATTAACATATACGTGTCATTTCCCGGGGGGTCGACTTAAGAAAACACATAATCAAGATGTACACGCGTAGCTCTGCATCGCGCCATTTATACGCCTTGCAAATGCGACCGTTATTTTTACATTTGGTTTTTCAACAAAAATGTAAAAAAATATCATAAAAAACGTAACCTTTATTTCGGCCCGTACGTGAATGCCTCGCACCCTCAGCACCTCTCGCTAGTGGCGGGCTTGCGGGACTGTACACGTGTCAAAAGGACGTAGAAGCTTTAGGAAATGCACCAAATCGGTAGATGACGGCGATAGAGAGTTTATCTGAATGAATGGTTGTGAGACGAGATGTTCCTAGGGGTCGCGAATAAACGCAAATAATAATATCATGCGCGGATTAAGACATTTAGAGGATCCAAAGCGAAACTTTCCAACGAGATTCTCGTTAAAAGATTAATAATATTACATTTTTAAAAACGGTTTTATTAAAATGAATGTTTTATTATTTTTAACAAAGTTACTATAGTAGTGTTTGCTGTATATAATAATACGAATAAGTCATCAACAGACAACGAAAAATATCAAAATATCAAAGAACAAAGTTAACGGTTATAGATGCGTGCATAAAGAACACACTGTGGTGCAAAAGCCGAGGCTTTGGGAGTCTGATGGCCCTCTCTGGACCCCCGTTTTAATCCGGGCTTGAATAATTTTATAATTTTCCAAAAAAAACGCGATCTTGAAACTAAATTTGTCCGAACAAACATGCTGTACACCGGATCTGAAAACATTTTTCGCTATTCGACGCGCCGCCCTGTTGTTCGCATTACCCGTAATACCGTCGCCGCGACGTTATCGGGTAATGTGAAAACCGGAGATATTTTTTTTGTCCGTCACCGCGTAACCGCCAAGTCGATTTCCCCGGGGCTCGCGTGACGACGTTGTCGTTCGTCCGGTTGCGTGCCGTACACCGCGGCTGTTATAGATAACCGCGCGTTGTGCGCGCCGCCGTTATACAGCGCGTACGGTGTGACGCAGACGACGACGGCGACGAGACCGTTCGCCCGGATCTTTTCAACCGCTCGGCGGCGGCCAGACGAGTTAACGAGTTTGTAATAATTTATTATTATGATTTTGTTTTCTTTGTGCCCCGGCTCACGCACACCGGCGTGTACACATTATGAAAGTAATAACACGTCTCGCGGGCGAAACTCGCGCGGTTTTATTTCACGATAATAATATAAAAATGCCCGTCGGGTCGCGATACCCGCGCATAGATACGGATATTATTATTAATAAACCGTTCTCGGGCGTATTTGATGTTTATTAAACAATAATACGCGCCGCAGTTCTATGTTTTTTTTTTTCTCTCATTTACTCTCTTTTATAATATAATGTTATTGCGCGCGTGTATAGCGTCTCTGACGGCGGCGTGGCGAGCGTAACACACGCGACCGACGACGGCTGAGGTCGTTAACGGGTTAAAAAGTTAAGTCATTTTTTTTACGGTCGTTATTCGCAACGCGGTCGTACGCCGCGGTCGCCCACGCCGGGTGGACACGACGGCTTTTCTCTCTCGCCGGTCCGCCTGATCGCCGCCGCGGCCTCGGGTCGCGCACACGTAACAACAACAGCGATACGCATTATTATTACGAGCGCGCACCACTGTGCTTCCTCGTCCGAGCACTCCGAGCGCGCGTCGTCGTAATAATATCGAAGAAAACGCGTTCGGCGCGAATTCCGCCGCCGCTCTACGCAGTTTGTTGCGTCGTAATCGTAACAATCATTGCGCGGCGATCGGACGGAAACCGTTTTGCCGCCGCCGCCGAGTCGGCGCCGGCAGATCCGAGGGCGAAAACGGCGGGAATACAAAGCCGCACGGAAACGTGTCTCGGAAGAACCGAGCGATTATAAGCGGTCGTAGTACAGCCCGGTGTCCGGTGTTTTTAAATCTAGAGGAGATCTAGACGAACGTCGAATTCGGTTTGCCCGATATGGTTCGCGGGGATCGTCGACCGATATACGCGAGGCTTGGTGTCGGTGCTGTGCCCGGGCAAAAAAAATAAAAAAAAAAGGCCAAACCTGTCCGTTGGGCGTTCACTGATACGTACGTTCATTGTAAAAATATTCAGTTACAGAACTTAAAGAATATACGGACTTACTTTGCACTATGGTCGTAGGTGAGAAATCGGGAAGGTAGAAGGGAAACTTAATGTACATGCGTACGAAATGATTAACGATTGCTAACGAAAAACGATTCTGAGCCGAGTTGAAACACGTGTTTTAAAAAGCCGTAATATTTAGGGTTTGAAAATAATACATTTCGTAAATTTTCCCGTTTTTCCTAAGTTTTTTCCCGGTTTTTCCCATTTGTTATGAAAACAGCCGAGAAAACCAAAAGACGACCTCCGCGAAGTACCGCCCCAGGCAAAATTATTTTCAGAAAAAGTACTACAGTTGAAAATCGGAGCGAAATTGCCGTTAGAAAAGTCGTTTACAGATAAAAAAAAAAAAATATACATATACATATATAAATAAACAAATATCATTGTAAAACCAATACGTGGCTCGTTTCGCTCGGAATTCAAAACCATTATCAATATACCGACATAACGCAGTTGGATGCGTTCCGGTTCACCTAATGAACATAAGTAAATATTACAAACGATTACGTAGCCTAATACGCGGCTCGGCTTCAAACGCGTCGATACGTAATCGTGTGAGAAAAAATGTTTACCCCCGAAATTCTTTTGTGTTCCTCGGGACCGCGGCCGGAACAGTTCGCCCCAACCCGACCATAACTCCATGTTCCGCCGACGACGGCGTAGACCATTTATTGTTCGTCGTATAACGGCGTAACCGCGCAAACGCGAGTTTATTAATATCTATCCGTACGCGCGTGTTGGGAATTTTCGGGAAAAAGATCACAGGCGGACGATACCGCACTTTTAACGTTCTCTCGTTCGCCCGCGGCTTTCGTGATGCAAGGTCGAAGTCACACGGGTGGTTTCGGGCGGGCGCATCGGGCGAATTTTATATATCCGCCCACACACGTGTGTGGGTCTAAAAACAAATACCCGACTAAATATTCGAACCGTTGAAAAAAAATATACCGTTCGGTTTTCGCTATAGCGACCTCTGCGCCGCCCCGGGAATGTCTGCGAGTTCATCTGCCGAGAGGGAAGAGCTAAAATCGATCATTTTTCCGGGTTTTTTTTTTTTTTTTCCAGTATTCGAATTTTTTAGTTATTATTATTATTTTTTGTACGAAATTGACATTCTGTCTTTCCTCTCGGGTACCGAAGATATATACGATATTACAGGAAACAGCGGTGGCGATGGCAGCTCAAAGGAGTTACGTTTGAATCACGTGTATATGTGATTCACAAAAAAAAAACGGGTTGGCGGGTCGTGAAAGTCTGGGCGTTCAGAAATATAACAATAATTATTTTGCTGGTACAAAATAAAATTCACAAGAACCTTAGTCAAAGAACAATTTAATATTGCGGAAATTTGATAAATTTGACGAATTTGATTGAAATTCGTGATAGTGTGGGGGTTAGAGCGGGTGAGTGGAGTGTACAATTGTTGATTCAGTGGAAAAATACTTCAAGCCGCTACTGGGAAGTAGGCGCGTTTAACGCAGGGACGGATCCAGGCAGGGCCCAGATATTATTTCTCCGGTGTTTCTTTTATAATTCTCTAGATCCTGATATTATTAAATTCCAATCACCGATATGTATGATGAAATATTTCATAATCATATTATACTTTAAGTGAAATTTGTGTTGTGAAAAAATTATTACCCCACCCAACAGATTTTCGCTCTGGATCCGTGTCTACTATAACGACTACTATCTCGCCCGCGCACGGTGACGATATTATCCCGTACCCGATCGACGAGACGCGGGACGTTCGTAACGCGCGGAAAACCCGTAGTTTTCATCGTCGCCGTCGTCGTCGTTATCAGTTATTATCACCTCGTGTAAACGCGCGAGATTTCACCGCTCGAAAATCGAAATTCGCTTATCGTCGAGTGCTCTCCGCAACTCCGCGGGGGCGACACGTTACGATCGGGTCCCCGCGGCGTCGTCGTGTCGCCGTTGCGGCGGGTAAGGGCGGGGGACGGGCTATAACGGCAGTGGTACGCAGTGCTCTATACATATCTACGCAAACACCCGAAATCGATCGCGGACGCGAAAATTCCGCAAACTCGAGTTTACCTATACGTATATATTTATAAATATCTGCCGGGAGCGAGCGTGCCATTTCCGGGAAAAGACTGCTCCCCCCCCACCCTATCTCACCCTCGGGAGGGTGACCGCCGCCCGCGGGTCCCACGTGCAGCGAGACGGACCCGGAGCCGCGGGTCGTTTCACGCGGACGGCACCACCCTCTCTTACGCGGCTCTGAATATCGCGCGCGGTCGTGTATTCGGCGGCGGATGTAGCGTGTACCGTCGCGTATTATTGTGCAAAAAAAAAAACGCCGAAAAATCCGGGCTCGTAAGCCCGGGGCTCTGGTCAAAAGGGGCCAGTCTCGTCGTTTTTCATCTATTTCGGGAAATTAAGAACGAAACGCGATTTCGGGCCTATTCGATATTGCAATGGTAATTTTCCTAACGACATTGGTCTTCTCAGAGCTCACAATAACGATTATTGAGTCCCCGCGTAACCGAAAGCCGGAACCCTGCATAAATCAATTGGGAAAAAAGTTCACAATTCGAGCGGTACGAGTGTAGAAAAATTGAAATTTTTTAAAATCAACGTGTTTGCACTCCGAAGTTCCGAATTTACGTTCGGAATCCATACGTAGAAAAACGTTCCGATTACTGCGGTGTAGGCAGGGAACGTATACGGTGTACCGCCGGGCGGGGAGTCTTTCCCGTTTTCTTTGTTTCCGTTAAAAAGCGTTTGCCGAGAGAAGGAAAACGCACCTCGGTAAAATTTAAATTATAATAATACAGTATCTTCGGTACACTCGGTATCTAAAATATCCCGGATGAGATGTCGACGTCGCGGTATAAAATATTAAAAAAAAAAAAAAAAAAAAAAAAAAAAAAAGGAAATAAAGGTATTTCGGCTTCGTCGGCATTTTCATCTCTCCGCGTAGCGTCTTTTTTTTTCTTTTTTTTTTTTTTTTTTTTTTTAAAAACCCCCCCCCCCCCCCCCCACGAACAACGTTCGTCCCTTCTTCGACATTCGCCGCGTGCCGCGATTATTATCACGATTCGCATACGCGCGTGCATACACATAAATACAATTACGGGGCAATACCGCGAGTCGCATCACTCAGTCACACCGGCGTCGGCGGCGGGGCGGGCGCCGGGGAGGGAGCCGCGGCCGTCGGGCGGCGGTGCAGCGCAACACTGTTGTAGTGTTTCGTCGTTTCGTAACGGCACCGAAATCGATCGGAACGGGGACGGGGGGGAGGGGGAAATTTCGCAAACTCCGAGTTTACCTGTACGGTTCCACGCGGCGCGCGCGCGCGCGCGCGTGTGTGTGTGTGCGCGCGCTCCGGAAAAACGACGGCGGCGTCATAACGCGCAGGAATCGTTCTTGACGGCGGCGGCGGCGGCGGCGGCGGCGGAGCAGAGACCGACTCGCGGCGCACAACACCTTGTACATTATCGCCCGTATGCGCGCACATTACGCGTATTAATATAATACGCGCGCGCCGCTCGTTTCCTTTTTCGGATTAAACCTCTGCACACGCGACGCACACACGCCGGTTTTTTTTTTATTTTTTTTTATTTATTTACCCATTATTCTCTTCTTTGCACTCGTCGCGTACGTACGTGGCCGCGCGATAAACAACATCATGCGCGTACGCGCGTTATATTGGCGCGCGTTCGTCCCGTCCGGTGCAGCGGCGCGCCGGGGAGTACAATGCGAGTGCAGCGCGGCGCGCACAATAGCCGCGTGCTGTTCAATTCTCGTCGTGCACCGTGCCGCCGTCGTCGTCGCGTCCGAAAATGGTCTCGGTCAGAAGAAACTTTCACATTCACCTAACGCATTGTAGTTTATTATTATTGTTATTATTTTTTATCGCGCGCGAAAAAAAAACGGAAACGAATAAATACAAAAACGACCGCGGGTACGTTATTGTTATTGTGATGCCGGGCGTCCGCGCGCGTTATCGGCCAGATATTATTGTCATTGTTATGCTGCCGGGCGTCCGAACGAGATCCGAAAACTGCAGTGTCGTTTGCGTAATAATAACCGCGGCGCCGCGATCCATTGTTTCCCCGGCCGCCGCGTCCCCGTCGTCGGGAGTCCCGGGCGAAAGGCGTCCGACAACAACAGGTCGTAACGGCCGGGTCGTTCGCGGTTTCTTATTCCTTTTTTTTCCCCCGTCCTCTTCGTTCTTTCCAATGTTTTTTCGACGTTTCTGTTGTAAACTCTGTCGCCCACGGCATCACTCCGCGGCCGCGGGTGCCCGCGATACCATCGGCTCGCACGATCTCGGCCGGCGCGGGGCTCGCGGCAGTCACATTGGTAATATTTCATCGCGCCCGTTTCGAAAACGGCCGTTCGCTATTGTATTGTTATTGTGTGTCCGGTCGCCCGCGCACAGTGATTTTAGACTCCGAGCGCGGCCAGCAACGCTGTCGCGGCGTTTGTTTAACGCTATGGTCGTTGCGTTGTTAATTTTCCCGTCCGAGCGAGGAACGTATTGTATCCGCAATGACGTTTATTTTATTTTTTATGCGAACGCTTTTTTCTACCCGGAATCTTACCCCGGTCATCTGGTATAGGTTAGGTTAGGCACTTTTCCCGAAAGGAAATGTTCTCCGGGCGGTACATTAGAGAGCTCACTTTTTGAAATTCTCACATTGATATTCGAGATGACGAGGAAAACCTGGTTCTTAGAGTTAAAAAAGATCGAAAGATAAAAAATAACGCTGTCATTAGCAACCGTTTTTTTTTTTTTTTTTTATTAATTTATTTTTATTGTTGAGTTTTTATTATTTTAAATCTTTTTTAAACAATCATTGTTGTCACGAAAACGCACATTGTCGTACTAATTTGGCCATAATACCTATATATTGTCGACAAAGCGACACTGTCAACTGAACTCCGCTCAGAATAGTTTTTACGTTAGCAATAATGGTTAATCGTTGCTTACAGGTATATATTGAATTCCCGTCTGTATCCTACCTTCTCAACTTCCCACCTACAACAGTGGCTGCACCCACGTTCGAAATATGTCCTTCTTTTCTTTTTTTTTTTCATGCTTGCGAAACAAGTTTTATACCAGAAATGTCGTTCCGATTTTCTAGCGTCTTTTCAGAATGCGATTCTGTGAGTTGAGGTGGTCGTTTTTTGATTTCCCCCGTGGTTCTCATAATAATTAGGAAAGGCGTAGAGAAAAACCGAACGAATTTTACGACAATGACGGTTTCATTGTAACATCTAAGAACACCTGCAAACCATTTTGAAGATTTTTGAGCTGTTCAGGCATTTGACGTTATCGAGTTTTAGTATTGATTTGGTTTTACGCTGACGATAATGTTTTGGCCGAGTAGAAATGCTTGGACATTTTATACGGAGTTCATCTTAAGTTGTGTTCTGAGGTAAAAGAAATAAATAAAAATAGGACAAAATGTAAGTAGCGGTTTTTTAAAGTTCAGATGTTAACGAAAATCTGGGCGTTTCAAAACACATGTTTAACCGAACTTCGCTCAGAATTATATTTCGATAGAGGTGATTTTTCGCGTACTGATATAAATTAAATACGTTTTATAAATGAAAAAAAAAACACTCGAAAAATATGTATATCATCGATTTTTATGCCGTGGGAGTGAATGTTTTACAGAATCCACTATTACTGACTTTTGTTTTGCAAACAAAAATCTCACGATAACCTATATTGAAGTTTTGATTATTTTCAGCCTACACACTAAAAGTTTGATATTTTTGACAGACTACACTACCAGGTTGCTTTATTCTTTTTAATAACCAAAATTCAAAAGCTCTCATATATACACTACCGCTCATTTGTCATCGAACTGTAATAACGTATTGGAGTTTATTTGACAGAGCTTTACACGCAGTCGGAACATAATTTGAATTTGAACCTTTAAACTAAACGTCAACATTATTTTTTTAAAAAAAAGTCAGAGGCATAAAGTTTTTTAATTTAGTTGTACACGACGATAAATCAAGGTTAAACGATTCGGAGTAAAGGTCCTTTCAATACCTGCACGTACTGAGAAGTCGCGATATTTTCGCCATTTATTGCTATTTACCTATGGCTATTTTTCCGCCGATTATTCTACACACCACTACGAAAACCCACAAGGAATAACGAAAAACGAACTGCTCTTTCATCAGCTAGACACGGTCATTCGCTACCCTCACCACCCCTGATGATCGGACCGAGATTTCTGGTAGAAAAAAAAAAAAGTCGTCTGTACACAAATAGAGGAAAACAACGCGCGTCACAGCGAAACCGTAAAACAAGAGCGTAGCAAGGTTACGCGTTGCGGAATGTAAAATCTGGTTTTATCAACAGGTATGCGTTGTTGAAAAACAATATTGCGTCGCCCCGTTCGGGCACCGCTGCAGATTTAACATTATTTATATACGCAAACGAAAGCGATGGCAAGCACTCGAATGACGGCTGAATACGCGATGTATTATTTCCGATTTTCGCACAATAACATATCGAATTCCACCGAATACACCGAGTCCGATAAACTTCGCGCGGAGTGTTTTTTATACGCAAAATCGATCGCTGTGTACCGTGCATGTGTATATATATATATATACATATGTATAAATAGCACGCACGTAATATTTTACGGGCCGGGCGCGAGTTCGGAGGGCATATTATTGTGACGCGGTGAAAGTGGTCCGATTATTTTTGCCCCGTGTGTCTTGACGTTTTTCCTTTCGCCCCGAACGCAATACGAATATCCGCATATCGGCTGTACGCGCGTGTTTGTTACACTATCGAATACGAACGTCGCGAAAACTTTCGTCCGAACACCTACACCGGGCCGGCCGGGCGACGATTACCCGGGAGAATTAAAAAAAAAAAAAAAAAAAAAAACATTTTTATTTTTATTAAACGACGGCCAAAAACCGTTTTCGAAGGTGTTTTTTTTTTTTTACGGCCGTTTTTCGCCGCCGGTAAATTGTGCCCGTAATAAATATTTGCATACATTACGGGCGCTCGGCCTCGTATAGATACGCTATACGGCGTGAGAGAGGGTCGGCGAAATACAAAAAAAAAACTCGTTTTCTTCGTCCCGCTCGCGCTCCCACCCCCTCCACCCGCCCCGTTCGTCGCCGTTGACGGGTTCTTCTCCGCGCGTAAAAAATAACCGCGGCGCGTCCGTCCCGCGCCGCCGGAGCGCATTGCGGCCTACGCAACGTTTACGTGCGGCGTGCCGCCGCCGCCGCCACCGATCCCCGGGCCCGCAGAGCCCGACCTTCGACGGCGGCGTCGACGTCGGCCGGACAGATGTTCTTCTCGGCGTCCGTGACCCGGCCCCGCGAAACACGACGTGATACGCGACGTCTTACGACGCGCGCGAGCGCCGGAACCGCCTGTATCGGATGTGTGGATACATTTCGTGCGCCTGTAAACGGCCATGTGTTTTCCCGTGGTTAGGCGTTCTCCAAGCGCGACGCCGATCGGCGAGCGCCGACGGGCGGTCGGGCGGCGCCTGGACTTCTCCGCTGCGCCCCCGGGGGAAGTGGCCGTCCCCGTGCGCAAACTGCACTCGTATTAGGCGCCGTGTTTAAGTGGGGGGGGGAAATAAACGATTAAATAAAAAGACCGGCGCCGCTGCCGGTTGCCGTGCCACCGTATTGGTGGACAGGGAAGTGTGAAAGGATAACTAAAGAGAGCAATTCAATTAATATCCGTGTATGTGGTGACGAAAGAGCAGTCGCTGAAAAGAAAAAAAAAACGATTCTGAGCGCGGAGTGTTGTTAATAGTATATATTTTTCGACGTAGTAAAACCGATAAATCCGTCGTCTCGCTCGGCATCCCGCGAAAAATAAATGAACACGAAATTATCATTACTTATACATGCATAAAAACGAGGGAATGCGAAGGACTAGGTTTTTTTTGTGGGTGGGGGGCGATTGGGGATTTTCCGGCACGTAATCTGTATTTAACTACGCGCGCAGCTTGGTAGTGTAATCTTTTCGGTGTACCTACGCCTCCCTATTTATTATTATATTCCGCGATAAGGACTTTTCGAAATTAATTTATCACCCGCGAGTTAATTAAAGGACCCGATATCGCAGATATAGCAGTGAAATTATTAGTATTATTATTATTTATATTCCATTTATAATAAAATATTATGGTAATTTCCAACGAAACCTCATTAATCAACTTCAATAAAAAAAAAAAAAAAAAAAGAAAAAAAAAAAAGTATATTGCAGCGTTCGGTTTTTATTTTATTTTATTTTTTCTTTCATTATCGATTTGTATAATGTGATAAATTCGTTTCTATGCATTTAAACGGATATCGATGCTGTAAACATAGCGTATAGGTAGAATATATGCTGTAACGTTGAAACGCTAGTAGTCGCAGCGGTATATTATATTAGCAATCCGACTATATTTGTTTAGGACGTAAAAAAATATATGTATTTATGCATTGCCCACATAAAATTGGAACCTCGGGTTGTTATACCTAATATTGTGAAATAAACGTATTATTTCCTGTTCGGACTGTATAATATACTGCAATACGCGCGTAAAATAATATTCGTCATCACTAGAGGCCGGATTTGATTGCATTTAAAACACACAAAAATTGCATATTAAAATTATATATTCGCACCGATAAATACGTACAAATCGCATAATAAATTGCACAATAAAAATGTAAAAGTTATGCAAAAAAAAAATTAGATAAATGTTACTTTTTTTTTATTTTAACTAAAATTGATAATTAGATACATTTCTAAATTGTTTTCATTAAAATTAAATCTTCGATTGCTTAAAATATGTTTGTACAAAGAAAAACTACGTTCTACGTTTACACTAGTTATTGGTGCATATTTAAAACAATTTAATAAAGTAGGCGTTATATCTAAATTAACATTTGCTTTACCTGACAAGACTTCATAGTATGACATAAAGTTTTATACCCTTCATTTTTTTCAATTACATACATAAATTGTTCTTTAATTTTTTTTCCCCATTTGTACCGGGAATATTTGTTAAAATATTTTTAATTTTTCTAAAAATATCCATGCTTTTCAGTAGTTCACTATTAGATTCTTCCAAATTTTTAAGATTCATGGACAAGTGTAATTTTATGAATGCTAAACGACATTTGACTACATTATTTTGTACAAGCTGCTTCAGCTTTTCGACACTTGTAGCATCATCTGTTAAACATTCAATCACGTTTTTAAACTCTTCAAAATTATTTGCATAGAAAAGTGCAGCGTTTTACCATGTTCCCCATCTTGTAATAATAGGTTCGGGTGGTAAAGGTATACCCGGCATTTCTTTTCTGTATTTATTTATTCTCGATGGTGCTTTTAGGAAAGCTTCATTTCCTGAAATAAACCAAACAAGTTGCATATGTATTTAAATTTTAAATTAATATATTAACATTGTTAATCAATTCAATAATGTCGGGATTTAATTTTCGAATTTTCTCTAGAGCTCTATTAACTACGTGCGCCATACATGTAATATGAATTAATTTCGGAAAAATATTTTTAATGTTTTCGCTACTTTGATCATATGAGTACCAGCATCACTAATAAAAATCAATACTTTTTGTTCAATACCAGGAAATATTTTTAACGAGGAATTAATAAACTGACAAATAGTTTCATAATTGGTGGATTCTAGTTCTTTACGTGCAATTATATATGGTTTGCTAAGCGTCCCATCTAATTTACCAAATAATAAATTTGCAATAGCCAAACCAAAGCGAAAAGAGCATATTTTATTATATGAAAAATTAAAAAAATTCTTTATACAAACCCCTTAGATCGGTTGTTTCCCCAACAATCATGTAAACGTAATTATTTCCAATATCACTAATTATTTGGTCCATAACGCTTTTATAAATATTTGGTATGTAAATTTTTCTCTTAAAGTGCTTTCGTCCGGAATTGATTTGCCAGTATGTTTTTCAATATTGATTTTAGCACATGATTGCCCAGCTTATGCAAAGGAATATTTGCAGCAACAAATGCATTACGTTAATCTTCAAAAAATACATTTTTACTATTCGAATTTTGAGAATTTTAATCAAAAGCTGTTTTTTTTTCTTTATTCCGTTGTAATGCATTTATGTGTTGAACTAAAATAAAAAAATATACATGTATTTTTTTAAATATTATGCAGTATACGAGTATTACGTGTAGAATGAGGATAAAATACAAAACTTACTTGTTTTGGAATGATGATCTAATACAGCGGTTCTCAACCTTTTTATAGTCGCGTACCACCTACACCACTTGAAAATTTCTACGTACCACCTGACCATTTTTTTGCTTATTAATAATATATACGTTTATGTTACATGTATAGAATTTTATTTTATTAGGAATTACAAAATGAGATAATATAAAATAAATATGTATATATAATAAACTATAAAGTAATTAATGCACAAAAAGAAATTAAATTAAATCAAATTAAATATGTAAAATTATTATAATTATTATGGTTTACTTTTTACTTCAATGAGACGATTGGTGTTGTTTTGAACGAACGATGACATCAATATCGGGCTCCAAATTGGTAACTTTAAGTCTTAAATCACTTTCTACGTTTAATCTACTTCTATATTTATTTTTTATGTACAATAAGTCAGAAAATGTTTTTTCGCACAGATATGTTGATACAAAAGGGATTAAAAACTGTAAAGCTTGTGTGGACAATGCCGAGTATTCTTTTTTCACGTCCAGCCAAAAATTAGTGATATTTTTGTTATTGAAAGCGGTTTTTAGGGTAGAGTCACTGGTTAAGTCAATAAATAATTCTTTTGCCAAAATGCCATCTGGAATATTCTTAATATAATCATCTACGAAAGGGTTTATGATCCATTTCATTTCTGAGTTATCCTCAGGGAAATATTGTAAAACATTGGATTTTAGTGATTGTAGGTGTTCCGAAATGTCTGTAATTATATTTGAATTTGGCTGAACTTTGTTATCGTTCCAAAATGTGTTAAGTGTCTCGAATGCTGAAAGATCATTCTTAGATACTTGCGAAATAAATAAATCCAACTTTCTCACAAATGCATTAACTTTATCACTAGTATAAAACATGTTTGTGTTTGATCCTTGCAGACTTAAATTTAAAATATTTAAACGGTCAAATATGTCAGCCATGTAAGCTAGTCTTGACAGCCATTCGACATCACAAAACAATTTGGACTTTTCTTCATCAATATCAGTCAGAATTAATAAAACTTCTGACCTTAGCTCGAATAGTCTGGTGAGGACTTTTCCTCGTGAAAGCCACCTTACCTCTGTGTGGAGAAGAAGAGAGTTATGAGTACTGCCCATTTCGTTACATAATACTGTGAATAATCTTGAATTGAGAGGTCTGGCTTTGATTAGATTTACGATTTTGACAGCACTATCAAGAACTAATTTTAAACTTCTAGGCATGTTTTTGGATGCTAATGCTTGCCGGTGAATCATGCAATGCATAGTTTTACATAATGGGGCAACTTTTTTTATTCTTGTTGCAACTCCGGTCAGCCTTCCAGTCATTGCCCTTGCTCCATCAGAACAAAAACCCACACATTTACTCCACGGCAGATCTATTTCAATCAANGCAATATCAGTACTCTCATCAATTTGTAGAGCAAAGAAATTACAATCTTTCACATAAAGCAATATTTTTTCTTTTATATTCGACGACATGTCATCAATTCTTCTTTTGACTGTATCGTTTGAAAGTGACACTTTTTCTATCTCTTTTGCAGCCTTGTCTCCAAGAACACATCGCACGATTTCTTTTGCTGCTGGCAACACTAATGTTTCCCCAATTGTGTGTGGTTTTCCATCTTTAGCAATAATTAAACTTGCTAAATAAGATGCTTTAACGATATTTTCATTAAAGTTCGTAAAACTAGACATGCATTTCGATTCCTTTCGGAAAATAGTAACTTTTCTCTGAAAAAATTCAATAGGTTTATTTTCTGTTTCTGGATGCTTCGATAATTGGTGGCGCTTAAGTAGCGATGGCTTCATGCTTTGATTCGAAAGTGTTTCTTGACAAATTACACATTGAGGTAACGGAGTAGAATTCTCAGAACCAAATTTTACAACGAATCCAAATTGTAAGTAACTATCGTCATATTTACGATTCGCCTGTGTTTTCTGTTTTTTAGTATTTGAGCTTCCGCTTTCGAAAAATCTTTTCATTTTACTTAATTTTATATCACAAAAAAGTTAGAAAAAACTACATAAAAATGTAAAATTTTAATATAAAATAAACTTGATGCAAACAATTCGTATGACACTCGTGAATAAACTGAAAGAACTCACGAAACTAAGGTAAAAACGCATTATTGTGAATTAAGAATACGCTTTATCGGGTATATTTGATAAAGTTTATCGATTTATATTATATATATATAGAATATCGCTATCTTAATTGCTACGATTACAAACGACCTCCACACCATCAAATAAACCAAATAATATTTAATGATTCATTCCAAATTTTTTTATAAAGAGAAATTTTCTTCGCGTACCACCTATGAGCTTTTCGCGTACCACTAGTGGTACGCGTACCATAGGTTGAGAACCGCTGATCTAATAGATATAGATATTTTATTTTAGTTGACACAGATTTGTTACATACGAAACAATATATTACCTGTCCCTCTGATGAAATTACTTCTTTATTTTCATTTAAGGAGCAATCCAGTTTGAAATTTTACCTTTTTAAAGTTGATTTTATTTTAGGCTTTATGGCGAATACGTTCACTGTGCGGCCAAACTGATTAATGGAATAGGTACTAGGGTACCAACAGGTAAACGTATTACTACGTTGAATCTAATTACCACCATATATATGTAGAGACGTTTATCGCTCGCTGGGCTCTCCAAGCTTCTAGAAAATTCCAGACGAACGATAAACGCCTATGATTTAAAAACGTGGGAAAATTGTAAAAACGTCGAAAATTGAAAAAAATTGCATTATACAATTAAATAGGCGGAATATTTTACGTACATATCGGCCTTAAATTTAATCATATCTGATTTATCTTTATTGCAAAAAAAGTCGCAATATCATTAAATCCGGTTTTTAGTCATCACTATCAATAGTAATCTTCTTTTTTTTTTTTCCAATTAGTTTCCAATCAAATCAGTTTTCACATTGCTATCCCATCTTTTATTAACAAGTATAATTAAGTTATGTTTTGTAAATGTCGTTTTTCCCTTCGAGGGGCAGGCTCACGTTATTAACTGTACTAAATAAAACTATTGAGAGAGGCTAGCGGTAGGACCGCGTCACCTCCTGACATTATGCTAATTTAATTTAACCTGTACTCGACCTTGAGCCGACGGCTGGGTCTTGTTGTGTGCACACTTTGGCGCCCAGGACTGATGAGGCGGCTGCTCTTATGGCAGCTGGTCAGCCCAAATCGACAGTTGTCTTAGCGTTAGTAGTAGACGTGTGGAATAATGATAATATTATAACATAATATTTACAACAGTTTAACAGTTATATTATAACAGTTAACTGCGATATTGTCGTTTTTAACGCATTATAGACGATTAATTGCCGGGCAAAAAACGATCAAGACGAATGTTCCTAACGCATTATAGATTCGTTTTTGAAATCGAAATCGATGAAACTATGTATTATATGTTTTTATACAGTTCTCACGATATTATAATATTGAATTATACTGGATTGCTGACTAGAGTGACAAGTGTCCGCCATTTCTGTGGGAATTATGGCGATAAAGGTGATACGTCGGTCTATCCATCTGTTATTACTCTTATTTACAGTATCCTTTATGAACATCTGATATCATAATAATACGTATATGCATGATGGCGTGATGCGATTATAATCCCCAAACAGACGGAGGATTACAGTATAATTGTCGGAAAAAATAATAAGTAATCAGACACACAATTTAAACGTTTCCAACCTTTCCCTCCCGAAATATTATATCAGGTACCTACAGGTACACAATCATTTCGTAATATGGTTCTTAACAATTGTTTGTTATATCTAAGCCACGTGACTTTTCTGCTTCGAAATGTCACCTGTCCGACGTGGCATTTTTCATTTACCCGGTCTTTTATTTTTTACCGACGTGATGGTTTTTCATTAACGACTAAAGGTATTAAATTTTCACTCGGGACATCAACTATTTCCTTATAGCACTATCGGGTTTGGACGTATGAAAGACACTTTTTTTCTTACTTCGGTAATGTTGCTGCGGAGAAATCGTGTGGCTCCCTTACCATTTTTCAAAAAATTGCGTACTCATATAATACTATATTTTACCGATTCGATTTTAGATTCTGAGTGTAACGAAGAAGCTTATGGTTTTACATAAATGTTTATTTTTTTTTATCTATGTGCAACTTTTCTACCAGAAATCTTGCTCCAATTATTAAGTGTAGCAACTTTTCTAAAAATAAATCAGACTGGGGATGTACTTTAGAGAACTCTTTTTTTAATTTTCCCAACACATTTGAAAAACCTCCCGAAAAAAAACCTGAGGTAAAACGAGATAATGTATGAAATGTATTAGTAAAATATTATGATTTTTAATCTGAGGATAACTTTTCTATCAGCAATTTTGCTCCGATTTACAATGATAACATTACATTTAGAAGGAAATCTCACTCAAAAAGGTTTTTTAGAGAGGTAAATTTTTTGATTTTTCCAGGATTTTTATCAAAATATAGAAAAAACCATGGAAAAAAATAAACATCTTTATAAAACCACAAGCTTCACTGATAATCTAAAATAATGATGATAAAAACAATAAAAACAATGAATCATAATCAGCATTTTAATAAGAAGCATAATAGGTAATAATAAATATAATGATCACTTAATAATAATCACCAATAATAATAACGAGCAATTTAATAATAATAATCAAATCAGCATCATAATAATCATTAATACTTTTAATAATATCAATTAACAATAATAATAATCATCAACAAACATCCTTATTAAAATTATGATTATGATTATTGTTGGTTATTTTATTTAAATGTTGATTACGATATTTGTTGATGGTTGTTATAAGTATTCTGATTATTATTATTATTGATTTATATTATTAAAAACATTGATGATTATTATGATGCTGATTTGATTATTATTATTAAAATGCCCATTATTATTATTGCTGACTATGATTATAGTTTTTAAAATGCTCATTATTATTATTACTTTAATTTTTTAAATTCTAAGTGTAATGAAGAATATATTGGTTTTACAAAGATGTTTATTATTTTTATTTTTTATGTGAACAATTTTCCTATCAGAAAGCTTACTTCATTGTATACGATGTAGACTTATTTGAAAATAAATTTTCTTGGGACGGTACTTTTCTACCAGCAAATTTGCTTCGATTTACAATGATAGCAGTTTTTCTGAAAGTAAATCTGACCAGGGTGGTACTTTGAATAGGTAATTTTTCGATTTTCTCAAGAGTTTTCCCAGAAAATTTGAAAACATGGGAAAACCGGGAAAAGCGTAGGAAAAATGGGAAAATCGGTACAATATTAAACAAATATTATTAAAAAAAAGCATCACTACCAACTGAACTTCACTCAGAATCGTTTTTTCATTAGCAATGGTTTATCGTTACTTACAGGTATATACATTAAATTACCAAAAACAGTGGCTAAAACATCTATCTCCATTATCCTAGGTCAATTATTTTTACCTCATTAAAAATATATTGTATCAAAAAATGAATAACTATGCTACCGATATCATTTTACGATAACTACAAGCTTTCGTTCTGTGTCCGGTATATAATATTGTAATTATTCAGAGAGAATAACGTCTAATTATTATGAACCTTATGCGTGTGACGGATTTAATTCGGTTTATTACAGAAAACTTCTACGATGCGATTAAGATCACTCGAATTTTTTTCTTTGAAAAATTATCATCTTTGAAATAAAAACATGACGCGCGGATCGATGAAATCGGACCCAATAACATCAGATTGTTAAATACAGAGATATGAATGCATAAATCGAACGGAAATCTTTCTGGATTTATGTTCGACGAACACGTAGTTGAGGACGAGGATGTGGTTGAGATCGTGAATAATAATGTCATTCGATTAAATAACCGTCTTGTTTGCGATCTAATTAAAAATAATTCTTACTTGATCTTTTAATTGTTTTATGCGAGGGGGGGAGGAGGTAATTTATTATACATATTGCTCGATTCAATGTACATTTTAGATTAGTTCGATATTCCAATGGACCAATAGTTGACAGCGCGAGCACCTCTCGAGCAAGTGTCGCGGATACTATACGAGGTCTGGCTATTAAATAACGAGACTGCCTATGAAAAATGGTTTTATTTTAAAAATTATTCCACAACCAAATGTTCCCCTTCAATATACTCTCCTCCCCTCTTCACACACCGTTTCATTCGTTTCTTCCATTGCTCGAGGCAGTGCTGGAAGTCTGTTTTCGTAACACCATTCAGGAGTTCCGCCGATTTTTGTTTCACCTCTTCCATCGATTCAAACCGGATTCCTTTTAAGGCAGACTTTATCTCCGGAAACAAGTAAAAGTCGCAGGGTGCCAAGTCGGGTGAGTAAGACGNGTGCGTTATCCTGGTGCAAGATCCACGACTTGTTTTTCCACAATATCGACCGTTTCTTACGAACTCATTCGCGCAATGTTGCCAAAACTGTCAAATAGTAATGTTGGTTCACAGTTTGACCCTCTGGAACCCATTCAGTCATCACGATGCCGTTGATATCGAAGAAAACGATCAGCATGGTTTTGAATTTGGATTACGACTGAATTGGATTCCGGTGCACTCTCGACCTTCAGAAAATAATTTATGCCACTCAAAAACACGCGCCCGAGATAGGAAATCCTCACTATAGGCTTCTTTTAACAACTTATAGCACTCAGTTGGAGTTTTTTTCAGTTTAACGAGAAAATTTTACGTTTATCCGTTGCTCATGTTTTTTGTCACACATCGTTTTCGGCAAGAGAAAAAAACATGTTCGTTTCTAAACGCTACAGAAAAAATACTAACGCACCAACAAAATCCCAATTTTGTACTGGCATAATAGACACTTCCAGCTAACCAGCGCTGTATTCGGTTTCCCCCTAACCTTTTTGGGACGCTCTCTGCGTGCTCAGTCTCGTTGTTTAATAGCCAAACCTCGTATTTACAATCGACAAACGTATTTACGCTTTTACGGCAAACCAAGTGTATATATATATATATACGAAATCGTACAAGCAGGTGGAATCCCCCGTAACTAGATTCTGGCAAGTCCCCTACAACGTCGTACTTAAACATCAAAGGCACCACGCGCGTATAATGCAACGACGACGACTTCATTTTCCCGTCGCGTCGTAATTACTCGTATACGTATACCATCGCGTATACCTGCACAAACGGAAGGTGTCAGTTTTTTTTTTAATTATTGCGGTTTTTTTCAATTCTTTTCGATGGTACCTAATTAGCTTTGTCGGATTTTTATTGCAATAATAATATTATATTATTTTTGTCCCCCCCCCCCCTGTCGGTAGGAACTCGAGGATTGTCGCCGGATCCAATCGGCCGTCGCTATTGACTTGGACAAAATCAGATGGCATCTGTACGTGTTGGACAGCGGTGGGTACGAAATCAACAACTGTCGGCCCAAAATCATCGTTTACGACCTGAAGACATACAAACGAGTGCGTATAGTTATTAATACACGTTAATTATTAATATAACATTAGAAATCAGTAATGTTTCCATTTTATAATAATATATTAAAGCAACGACCCATCTGTCACTTTTTTTCAATATTTATCGTATCTTATTCTTACTATTTTTCTTATCTATTTATCTATTACCTCGGTGTTACTTCGTGATACGTCAAATGAATCGAATTGTTGGAAGTGGGTGACGGGGGTGAAGAGTTGATATTAGTCACACGATAGGAACGGGATGACTGTGGCAACGGTACAATACATGATATTGATAAGAGATAAGATGCAATGTGTAAGTGATAAGAGAAAGCGCACGACGAAAGCACGGAAAGGCGTAAATGGATTTTATATGACAGATATGTCATGTATCGCTGTGATATAATTCGTCACACGTGCGACTATTTTTGCAGTAAACCGAAACCCGATTGGGTTATCGGCGGATAATTACTAGAACTTGTCTGTCTTGCCGGCCGCCACTCCCGGAATCCTAATAGTTCTACAGTTCCGTAATATTGGGGATATATCCCGATCGCGTCCCGTTTAACATTTTCACCTTTTTTTATAACCCGAGTGGGTCCGCAATCTTATCGATAAATTAAATTAAATTTTCTGAGTTTGTCCACAGTCGTGTAATAAATTATCCGCAGCTGTTGGTACCCGTTTTATAATTAAGATTTGACCAGCGGAGAAACAGAGTTTAATTTCAATTTTAATACTAACTAAGGTAGACCACGGCTGGTAGTCGTGTACTCGTGTAGTCTTCTAGTGAACGAAAAAACAAAGTAGTGCCGAACTAGTTCAAATTTTTCGACAAATGTCATTGCCAGATAGCATGTTAAGTCAACACGATAAGAACGGCATTTAAACACCAGCATTTAATATGGTACATTTTTCGTGAAATTTTAGTACAATAAAATTAGTACGCTCGCCCTAAATGAATGGGTGTAAAAAAAGTATACAAATAGTGAAATACAATACAAAATATAAAAAATAAACATTTTTGGGATGTCAGCTAGTTCGCCTCCTCATGATGCACGCCGTGGGCGCAATTCTTAATGAACTCGGACGCATTCGGGCTACGTTGCAAAAATTACCTTTTTTTTTTATCGGGACGCGTCTCGGGATATTGAAAAACGGTTATTTCGGGTTATTGTAATATCAAATGCACCGACGCAGGTTCGAACGGTGGACCTGGACGGGCTGAACGGATGGGAACTGTCCGCGCTGGTCGTGGACGCGAGACCGTTCAAAGGCGAGACGAGAGCGTACGCGGGCAACACGCGCGGCGGTTATCTCGCCGTGATCGATCCGGACCGGGGCGTCTGGCATAGATTAGCGTTGCAGAGCTGTCCGCCAGTGCCGTCACTCGACCAGGAGCGTCGCCCGCAGAATTCGGACGGAGTGACGGAAGACCCGGACCAGGTCCTGGGCCCGGGCCGGGACCGGGACGCGGCCAACGAGGGGGACCGGGACGCGGAGCGGACGCCGGAGGAACGCGACGTGCCCGCGGAATGCGTGGCCGTCTCCCGGTTATGGTCTTCGGTGTTTTTCACGTCGGCGCGGAGCCACGATTTGTACTCGGCTTCCTTCAGGGATCTCCGGAATTTGACCTCGTACATCAACGCCGCCGGAGTAAAGGTACGCGAAAAACGGCGTTAATCATTCCCGCGACTCGAGTGTACTTATACGCGGAATGTCCCGTCGCGCATTGTGCGCGTTTAATTGAAATTTTATTGTTCAGTGTCGCCGCCGTGTAACACGTTTTATGTTTTTAATTTGCGTATATTGCCTATATTTTATTGCTCGTCACGACGCGATCCTCGGGCGGCATTGGAGATTCGCGCGGTAGCGGAGGCGAGCGAATATTTTACACCCAGTTCGTGGAAAGTGGCGATCGCCTCCCCGTTACCATCCGCCCTCCGCGAGTCCGGCACCGTAGCACAGGGCGTAAAATATCTAGACACGAAGCTAAAAGACACGCAGATAACGATGAAAAAAAGATAATAATTTTATTTATTCGTTACTAGAGATTTGAGCCCGATCAATTTGAGTAATGATTTTTTTTTTCACCATTCTTACTATCGAGAGACCCACTCATTTCAAACTGTTTTAGAAGCCTAATAACATTTTACGTAGACGCTTTTTAGTCCACACAATATATTCAAATTCCATTAATCTTACGTAGTTGCGTTATTATGTTCCTAACCTTATTACATGTATTATTACAATTCGAAACTGTACCGCTATTATTAATCTGAAAACAGTATTTTGTAGTTTATTGTACAATTTTTATATTCTGAGGTTAGGTATTTATCGAGAATTATTTAATCAGAAGAAAAACTCTAAGGCACCTGCTGCATGCTGTTCTTTCTTTATTTAATTTATACTCGTATGAATAAATGCGCATTATATTTATAATTTATGTGTTTATTTTATTTCAAACAAAAATGTATATAATTTTTGAATCATTAATATAGATTAAATATTCAATTATTTTTTTCTAATAAACACATAAATAACGATTCAAAACGATTTATCTATATTTCGATTCGTCGTTTATCTCGCATAATATAGATAATATGAAAATATAGGTACGTATACTTAGCTAGATAAAACACAACATTGTACAGAACTGGAAAATAGGTCACTTTGTAAAATTATAATTACACAATTTATTATAATCAAAACCAGTCCTAAACGATTAAAAATGTCAAATTATAATTTTCTGTAAACATTTTCTATCGAACATTTCGAAAAACAACGACTGAAAGCGGTACATTTTATGCTCTTAATAAATGATAATAATGAGATAATATATTACGGTATTATGTTTAAAAATTAGCTTAATATATAAATAAAGAATGACTACCGGCGGATTTTCGATACTTTTTCACTAAGAACAACTTACGGTGTAATCAAATTGTTCAGCACATTTACGAAAATAACGAGCGAGATATGAATATATATATTTTACGATTTTTGTCAAAATCTAATTTCTAACGCTTAAAAAAAAAAAAAAATTCGTGACTACAGATTTTTCGATATTTTTCGGTCTTACCCACGCGCACATATATACCTATATCATTTATAGAGGGTGGAAGAATGAGCAGGGAAAGTAACTGCGCACACTCAGCTGCTCCCCCGTTGTACCGCCTAAAAATCGCGATCCGTTTAACGAGTCGTTAAATATTATTCACAATGGTTTTTTTTTTTTTTTATGTCTTCAGTTTTTTTTTTTTACGATTACTGGTAGGTGATATTATTACAACGCAAAAAAAAAAAAAAGGCAGACATACTTCGCATAGCGGGCGGGCCACTGTTGTAGGTGAGAAGTTGGGAAGGTAGGATACAGAGGGGAATTTAATGTGTATCGAAAAATGATTCTGAGCGGGGTTCGGTTATACACATTTTAAAAGGCCGTAATATTCACGATTTTCTGTCCAACTTTCAATTCTCTACTTTCTACGAACATTTTTAAGTGAATAACAAACAAATTAAAAATAATAAAACCATTATTTCCGTACATTTTCCGTTTTCCTATGTTTATTCCCAATTTTTTTCAATTATTATGAGAACCGTTCGTATATCTAATTTAAAAATGACATTCTTCAAGTATCAACTGGATACAATTTTATTTCAGAAAAAATGCTGGACTTGAAACATCAAAACAAGACTTTTAGAAGTAATCTTGTACAAAGTATAAAAAAAAAAAAAATGTTAATAAACATTGTTGTAAAACCAATACATTCCTCGTTTCGCTAAAAATCGAAAATTATGCATATTTTTGAAGGCCGCGTGTCTCGTTTTAGATTCCGGGCGTAGTTTCGACAGATGTGCAGTTTTTTGTTTCTCGGAAAACACTTTTTCGGCGAGCAAAAAATATGCTTCGAAACTTTTGCACATTTTTACGCTTAAAATTATTTTAATACATTAGGAATATTTTATGTATAAAAGTATGAGGAACTTGCATAATCGTCGAGGTAATAAAAACAGGAAAAAACTTGATTTTTTTTTTTAAAGTATTCAAATTATTTCCCACCGTCGCCGTCACTATACGAACAAAATATAAATTATGCATAAAAACATAAAAATCGATTATGCAATTATTGTTGCGCGAAGAATGTGCGACGGCGGCGGCTCGAATTGAATCAGTTATGGTTTTTATGCGTACAAATATACAAATATACTTTTCGTGACGGTACACATCACGTACATGGAAAAAAAAGTGATAATTTAAAACAATCATTTTATTTTATAGAACGGCGACGTGCTTCCGAGGGAATTACAAGTTTACCGGAACGGCGTAAAGTTAGGAAGTTCAAGTGGCCTGTACGCGGACATACAGGGTGGACTGAACTACGTGTTCACGAGAGATTTCGTGGCGGTCAGGTATGTATACATAATAATAATACAAAACTGTATTTTAATATCTTTGTTTTTCAGTTCCGGTCCATCAAATAGTTAGGTATAATATTCGTGTATTAAATTGCAGTATTCGTTTCAGATTTTTTTGTTCCACGGATATCGTATAAAATAGAATAGAGTTGTGACAAAAAAAAAAAAAAAAATAATAATAATTAATAATAAAAATGTAGATATTATTCATATTTTTTAGGATATACATTGTACGAGAATAGACTAGAATTATATGTTCTAAATATCAAATTTTTCAGAAAACAAAAAAACTGGGTTTTCTCGTACAATAAAAAAATTTAAAACGTACAATGTACAATTTAAGTTGAAAAATTGAAAACAACCATCAAAAGCTAAAATTTAAGTTATTTTCTATATATTTGTTGAGGTTAATGGTTGGAACGTGTGAGTTTTGACTCTAAGGTACAGAAAATGTGACTTTCATTAGCAGTTAAAATAGAATATGACGAAACAACTTAATATGATGGATCGATACGACCAACTTCACATACGTGATGTTTTCATACTACGAATCATGCGATTTTTGATACAGGTTAAACAGGATAGAATATCAAAATTCCCATAGTTCAATGGAACCATTGATGGTTTTGATACGAACCGTTACAATTTTCTGTTAAATTTAATTCTGTTCTTTTGCGTTTTGTAACACAAAATGTAGTTGCAGGTCACTGTAAAATAAAGTCCATTCAATTTTCATAAAAATCAATACAACTGATTTGAATCTTGAACTGAACTACACTGGGAGTTTAATTAGGTTTAATTATTATGAATTTTCAGTTTGTAACATTACTATATATGCAGTCTAAACGTAGTTTTAATGTAGTAAACGTTTATTATTATTTGTGTTTTTTAAAGAATCCGGGAGGATTAGTCGTATAGCCGTGTTAGTCGTATATTAAACTAAAAAGCCACTTTCGTCTCGACAACCGATCCATATCGACATGTGTAAAGAATTAAAAAAAAAAAACAGGTTCGAATTCCTCGTCGAGTAGTAGTAATGATTTTAGTTAGGATTTACGATGCATGTTTGCAGGTTCTTTTATTTTTTTTCGAGCGGTCCAAGAACGAAAATCTCGTAGAATAAAATATTAAATAGAAATTTGAATTTTAATCTACGTGAGATTGTACCACTACACCGATATACGAATTTATTTAGCATATTTTTACATGTTTTGTCATTTCTTCGGCGAAACTTATTAATGGGTGCGTATTCTATGTGCTTTATGACTTGAATTTGTGTGTTGATGGTCGTGGTTTTGTACGCATATTATCATTTTTTTATTTTTAGGGGATATTCAGTCTCTATAAGACCGTCTCACAACCAATTTTCCTCCACTATCCATTGCCAAAATTTTACAATTCCCGTTCTATTCTCAGCCTATCCAAAGTTGTTTTGCCGTTTGGGCTTTGCTCTAGCACTATGCAAAGTAGTAAATTTCGGCTCCAAGTTACAAACATGTCCAGCCCATCGCAGTTTAACGGACGCATAGTGTTATAATATCAATAGTTTCGTATTTTAAACAAAAACATTTTTTTTACTCGAATATCTCTGCAATATATTATACAAACCATTAGAAACAAATGCAATGTCGATAATACTAATATAGTATACTTCTTCAGTCTTCTTTATCTCTTGACAAACTTATTCTTTATAATAACACCACAATATCATGCAACTTATCCCTGTCCCGTACAAGTTTATTGTAATATTTTATGTTCATTGCTCCCTTAGTTGGCTACGCAATTGTTTAACTCACAATCAAAACGAAACTACTTAACAATATTATAATACGTACTATAGGCACTCGAAACAAAATACTCGAGAAATTAATTTATTCAATGAATATTTTAAAAAACATTAGGTAAAAAACTAAAAAGACATAAATATTAATTTGAAAGAGGTTTTTTCTCGGGTAAATCCGAGATGACAATTACTTATTAAAAGCGACTTTGATAAAAAACGGTGTACGAGTTTGACACGGAGGTTCGGGCCGCAGCCATATATGCGCGCGCGTTTTTCTCCAGGGGATAATTATCGACCCCGGTCCCCGTCCCTCATTTCCCGAATACGCGCCGAAATAATATTATCAAACGAGTTTTATTAAATTTATATCTTCGATATTAATAATATTTTAATATAATTGTATAATATATATATATATATTTATATATACCGACTTTGTCGCGCGTAGGTCGAGTCCGGGCGTGGGAAGCGATGTGGCCGAGAATCACCGAGTGCTGCTACAATCGTGCGACCTGTTACCTGAGGTCACGAAAATTTTCACGGACAACGCCAATTATTTGCAGGTCTGGGCGCTGAACGCCGTGCCGAACGGCGAAAATCGCCATTCGGTCAAAATCAATAAGCTCAATAAGTTTTAAAAGAAAAAAAAAATGTCCACAGACAAATCGTATAATAATAATAAATGGATCTGGGCTAAATCGCACGCGGCCAGTTTTAAAATAATTTTTTTTTTACAGGCTTACCTTTTTCTTTTTTTGTCTTTTCCTCTTTCGTCACCTTTGTTACACGCTGCGGAAAGAGTATAGTTTCGTCTTACTACGATGCACTGAGGAATTGTTGAGCACATTCAGCTAACAAAAGTACTCACCGCTCGCCTTTTTTCCATTTTAAACTTCTGTGTGTCACTCCTGTGATGTTTCCCTTCAATCCTCTAACCAAATTTAATATTTTACTAGCCACACATTCTCCCGTATACATAATTCTTTTATTCTTTTCCACTTTTCGACTCGATTTATAATTTATAGACCTCCTTTCCAACGACCTTCGTTACTTCTTTCAAGACACCAAAAACCACCCCAAAGAACAAAAAATTGATCCCTTAAATTATACTTTAATTGTATATCTACTTATAATTAAGACCTTAAATTAGAATTATTTTTTTTATTGTAACCTTATTGACGTACTCGTTTATATATTATAACATAATTAATATAATAGCCGTGATTCATCTATAACGCTTTTTTTTTTTTATTAAATTAACTTATTAGTTATCTATTATTCCAGCGAAACGTCGTGGTACGTAATAGTAGGCTTAAGGGGGAGGATGAGGCAAAGTGATAGAAATAATCATACAATGGACGCAGGGGTGAAGATGGCAGTGGTCCTATAAGTATATAGATAAAAGACAAGAGACGTTAAGAGAAAATGCACGAAAAAGTGTGAAAAATCGTAAATGGATCGATACTTTTGCATCCATTCAGTCGGTAACTGCCAAAGTGAACACATCAATATTATTCGATTTAGCCACTGAATCGAAGCGTATGGCAGGTAAGTCCTGATCTCTTATTATTTATCTATAATTATTCTTTATTATGCCATAAAGAAACACGGTACAAAACCTACAGAAAAAAATTTAAACCTTTATAATTATTCAGGTTTTCAAATATATTTAATGTTTTTGCAGAGTTGTATTATTAAACTTATTGTCTTCAATACTTAATTATAATACAAAGAATATCGTACATATTCATTTTTTTTTTTTTTTGAACAATCTACTGACTACATGTATTTTTAATATTTTATCGGTTTTGCTCCAATACCGAGGCAATATCGATTCACAGATATTAAAATAGCAATTATGGAAAACAAATTTAATATTAATTACTCTATTGGTTTTTGTCCTAAGGTATATTTTCCCACGAAATTGTTGACTACTAACACTATATATATATTGTGGATATAAAAAAAAGAAAAAAAGAAAAAAAAAGAGTAAAGTGAGTGAAAAACAATCTTTACAAGTTTTAGATTCATATTAGACGCGTGTGGGGAATGCAGTATCATTTTATCATCATAATTAAATCGAATTACCAAAATGTTTGTACCCAATCAAAATCATCTTCAAAATCTTCGTCATCGAACAACAATTCAAACCAAAACGTTGTGATTGACGTAAACAGTTGTAACAACATGTTTTACGGTAATTAATGAAACTGACGTAAAACTGATAATTTTAACCTGTGGATCAGTGCGTGATAAACAAAATCAGTTTTGCTTTGCCCCGTGTTCCCATATACATATTAATTATTCTTTGGAATAATATCATTGTTAATTATGACGCATAATAAACTACTGTCAGTTGATCTTTAATCATTGACTATCATTTACGTTTAAGTCTACAGTGGCGTAGCCAGGGGGGTTTTGGGCGTTGTATTCCCTCCCATTTGCATTTTTTTTTGTTTTAGCTATAGTTAAGGTTAAAATGGCTTTAGACCCGTGAACCCCCAAGATGTCTACGCTACCCCCTACCGCCGTCCACGCTACCGTCAGTCAATATCTATTAATCACTGCACAATTTGCAGCGTACTCAACGATTGTTAAATGCAATAACGAAGTAATACCCGGGCGTTAACACCGTCTGGTCTCGTTAACATTCGTATGCAAAAAAAAGTTTTCGCCACAAAGATGCGCGGAATTTGGATTCGGCGTTGGCAATTTCAAACATTTCAATGACCACCATAACGCGTCATATGACGGGCGTACGATAATATTAATATTTATGGCACTTATATAATATACGCCGCCCACTTGTTATAAACGCCGTACGTCTTGTTTTTTTTTTTTTCGAACGTTAAGTGCGTCTTTTCCGTACGCGCGCGCGTGTGTATATATATAAAAAAAATGTAGTTTTTCATTTTGATATAATTTATATAATATTATGCATACCTGTGCGCTCTGTCGGTTCGTATTCAATTTTCAAACGAGCTCAACGCATAATAATACGTATATAGCATACACACATAACGTAGTATAGGAGGCGCTCACTTATATAAAAATCGAATACGTAAAATTACAAATATTTTAACAAAATACGTGGTTTTTTTTTTTTTATTTTTATTATAAGTGGGAATAATGCGCGGCTGTTTATAGCGCACGGCAATAATAACATAATATTATTATAAAACTGATTAATGCCGTCGTTTTTATACAAAACGCGTACACACACTGTGCGGATTTACGGGGGTAACGGGGATCACGTAGGTGAATAATGCACACTAATACCGGCTACGTACGCATACGCAACATAATGACATTATAACGACTCTGCGTACTATAAAATGCTATCGAGTACGACCGGCTGTTGCGAGTTTTTGCGTTAATTAACAGCTAAATCAAAGGATGTTTTTGCTTCGGCTATATGTTATTATACCTTTATTATTATATTATTATTATTATTATTATTATTATTGTACATATATACGCGAAACGAATACGAATTTAACGTCTTTACGCGATATGACGTGTGCGCGTGTGTGTGTGTGTGTGTGTGTGTGTGTGTGTGTGTGTGTGTGTGTGTACGTATATATATATATAATTAAAGTTCCCGCGAATATCTCCGTAAGTATAATATAAACGCATAGGTACCTGCGCTACATCAAAGTATTAACATATCTATACTTGCAGCCGCTTGCCGCCGCCGCCGCCGCCGCTGCAACGTTATTGGAATTACATTATTATTACGGGGTCGGCGGCGCTCGCGCTGCAAAGTTTTAAGTACATTACGCGCGTACGCCACTGTTCCGCGGGGCGGCGTTTCCCGGTTATCCTTTCTTTTGTAAATTTTTTTTTTTCCTGTCCTCTCCGAGTCCGAACCCCGAGACACGCGCGCGCGTTTGTTAATTAAAAATAATTACATTACGCGAGAGCGCGCGGGCGGTCGCGAATTTCGCATTTTTACACACACGCACACGTCGCGCGTATCGAGTTCTCGCGATATTACGAACGCTTATCTTTACGACGGCGGCGCACGGGGTCGTAAAAAAAAAAAAAAACCGTTTCCCCGTTCATTACCGTCCTGCGGCGCGCGCGTTCGGCTCGCTCGTCCGGGCGGGGAGAGAGAAAATACCGACCATCATCCGGCACGGGATAAATGTATACGCGCGTTGTTGCGTTTATGGAAATCCTGGAAACCAATAACCGCCCCGCCGCCGAAAGCCCTTATTACGTTTAACTACGTACCCGTAAGTGTCACAAAGTACACCTGTCCACGTGCCTGTCGGGCAAAAATGAAAACTTTCCCTCGACAACGATGACGAGCCGATCGTTGGTTACGGGCTGAATTCGCCTCCGGGGTAGATCCCTGTGGCGCAGGTGTTTAGACCGGTAGTGGTTTCCAAACTGTGCGCCGCGTCGGCTCCGGAACGCCGCGAGTCCCGTTCGGGGAGGGGGGAAATTGTCAACGATTTGACTGTATAATTTTTATTGATATTTGAGCTACTTTGGCAACAATAGAAAAAATACTGCTGGTAATAGTCAGTATTCTATTCAGAATCAGTTTCCGTTGGGGATGGTTTATTGTTGCGTATAGGTATAAATTAGATTACCCTTCATCCATCGCACCTTCCAATTTTCCGCCTACAACATTAGCAAACCCGTCAGTAGCATCAGTTGTTTTTTTTCCGATGTCACGTTTTGGATTATTAAAATACGTGGGAAGCTTACTTTAGGAACGGGTATTTAAAAATCGTTGAAATATTGTTGTCGGATTAAAAAATATTTTAGAAACTTAAGTATATACGAAAATAAATTTGTTTTCGTTCGTTTTTCGTTTAAGCGTTTTTTATAACAAGTTTGCAATAAACGTTATTTATACTCATTTACTTACATTGTTTTTTTATAATAGGTTTAATACAATATATTTACAAGTATTCAAATCGGTTATCAATGGGAACTTATGTAAATTTTTTATTCGTGTTCCTTGTGGTAAAATAAATCGCATAGTAAAAATTAGAAAATGAACTTTCGTAATTAATTATCATAAAATATTATTCATATTCAAAAATAGCAAAACAAATTATACATAGTAAAATAAATACAAAAAATACGGACATACTTCGCACCACGAATAGGCCGCTGTTTTACATAAGAATTCATGAGAGTATAGAATATAAAACAATTAAATGAGTATATTCAATTTCATTGTACCGAAAGCGGCGGCAGATCATCTCAATTAAAAAATGATAACGAGCGGAGTTCGATAAACTAGTAAGGCACCTAATAAATTAACTATAATTCGTACATACGTATTATTAGTGTTTTTTCCCATTCTATGTGGCCAACGTAAATCTCAAAACCAAAGTATATATCCACATTTTTGTCAGTTTTTAAAATCGTTCTGAATAACGTTTGAGAATCTAGAAAACATTTTTTAATTTTGTAAGGAAGGTACTGTTTTCGCCGTGAAGCACGCATAATAAAGTGCATTTTGTACAAATATTTAGTTCACAATGAGATTAAAACAAAATAAAATTCAATAAGTAATAATGAAATTTTATATCGCATCACATTATTAGCCGTCTTTCGGGCCATTTTCAGGCGCAAATAGCCCAAATATGGGTGGCTTAAGGCCCCATAATATCGATTATGTATACCATTAGTGTTTACTCGGTAAAAACTCGTTTTGAGGAATCGACCATGTTTTTTTTTGGGAGAATAAAGCACCTCCCACCCCCCCATATGTGCCGTCGAACAGACTTGTATATAAAATCTGCTAAGAATACCGCGGACGGTTAGGTTGACAAACTCCAGTGGAATTTCATGTCAAAATGGTCAAGGTATACACCCTGTATAGTGTATATATACATTCGCCGTCGAATATTGTATTCACGTAAATATTATTGAAATAATCGAATTTGTTAAATTTTCGCCCATTTCGGTATTAATATTAATTTCCGTGTAAATAATTCGAAAAATAACAAAAATTGAAATTGGAATATTATTTCTGCAAATAAAGAATTAACAACGATTTATAATAATATATATTTTAATTTTTTGTGAGCAGGACAGTGGGTATTTAAATATTGTTATCGCCATGATGGATCGTGACAAACGTTTAATTAAAAGCGTAATATTTTCTGGTCGCATTCGAATGTATATATATATATATAATTAAAAACGACTGTATTTACCGTAATAACTGTTTTTTTGAAAAAAAAAAAAATAATAATAATAATAATGG